GCGGCAAAAGTTTCCTCTAATAAACGCCAAACTTTAGCAGTCTCTTTCTCAGCCCTATTTTAATATATTTTTATGTTTAATAAACCAAAAGATGGCCCTTAATGTCTTCTATCTTTTGGAATCATAAACATAAAAACATATTAAAATAGAGCTGAGAACGAGACGCCTAAAGTTGGTCGAAGGGACCGTATTTCCTCTAATAAACGCTCCCCCTTCGACCAACTTTAGGCGCCTCTTTCTAGGCTCCATTTTCAGATATTTTTAAATTTAATACACCAAAAGATAGAAGACATTAAGGGGTATCTTTTGATATATTAAATATAAAAATATCTCAAAATGGGGCTGAGAAAGAGGCGCCTAAAGTTGGTCGACGTGCGAGCGTTTACTAGAGGAAATATGGTAACAGTGTAGCAAATATAATAGAAAATCTATTGAGAAGTTTATAGAAAAACTGATTTCGAGATTGACAAGGTATGCTCAAATCAAACATCTATGTACGATTAAATCAATGATCTATCAAATCATACATCTATATACGATCAAATCAAAGATCTAATCGCATATCAAGGTATTTCCAATTCTACTTGATATCTAATATTTTTTTGTAAGAATTGTTATTCTGGAAAAAGTAATAATGAAATATTGAAGACATGAAATCTGTCCTTGAATGTGTTTCCCTCAATCCACTTCCATTCCACTCCACTCTCATCAATTCATACCAATTCTTGAAATCCTTTTGCTCAAATCTTTACACTCTTTCGTATCCCTTCTTCCTTATCTTTTCTTTCATTTCTTGCGAAAAGAAGGCGACGATAGCTTAGTGGTAGAGAATCTGCACGGTAAGCAGAAGAATTTCATTTACTTTTTATTCGATTTTTAGAAACAGTTAAAACTAGGCAAGACGCAAGAGCGAGTTTAATTCTTTTATTCGATTCCTCATCGGTTCCAAATTCTTTAATTAATTTCTTTACTTTATAAAAGAATAGAATAAAGTAAAGAATTTTATAAAGTAATGTTATAAAGTAAAGAAATGAATGGTAAAGAATTTGGAGCCGACAAAGGACTAGAGACATCATCGGCAAAAGAAAAACGAATGGCTACGATGGCCTTGCTAATGTTTGGTGGACTTCTCCGTGTCTCCGAAGCGTCAGCACTCCGCTGCGACGACATCAAAGAATTCGGGAATGGGGTTTGGGAAAATAACATTACTTTATAAAATTCTTTACTTTATTCTATTCTTTTATAAAGTAAAGAAATTAATTAAAGAATTTGGAACCGATGAGGAATCGAATAAAATAGACTTCGGAAAACAAAACTTAACCAAAACCAAAACAGACCAAAACCAAACCAAAACCAAAACAAACCAAAACTAACCAAAACTCGCCAATATCTCGCGACTGGGAGGAGCTAGCGAAAATCTGTTTGCAGATTTGAAATCAGCATCCAAAAATCTATCCCATAGGCTATTTTTTGTTTCGAAATTTCGAGGTCGTGTTTTGGTCCTTTTTTCGGCCGCGAGATTTTGGAGAGTGAGAAAAAGTGAAAGGCAAATTTGCATTTTACATTAAAATTTGCATTTTACAATTTTAAATTTACATGTTAATTTATATGCAAATTGAGTTTTGTTTTTGTTTTGGTGTTTTGGTTTTGATTTCGGTTTTGGTCTGTTTTGTTTTGTTTTGGTTTTGTTTGCCGAACTCTAGAATAAAAGAATTAAACTCGATCTTGCCTAGTTTTAACTACCGTTTCTAAAAGGCTAATAAACAGTAAATGAAATTCTAGGATATAGAATTAAAATGTGAGCGAAAAATAGCACTAAACAAATGCTTTTTGCCGAAAAATTTCACCCAAAACCCAAAAATGACCTCAGCACTTTTTGTGAATCGAAATTGAATCTTTGCACGAGCAAATGACCAAATTTCATTCAAATGACCAAATTTCATTCAAGAGATTGTTGAAAAAACAATTGATGAAAGGATTTTGACAAATTAACCCTAGCAAGCTGTCAATGAAAATGTGCAGAAATTTTTGAATGAAACGTGGCTTTTCAAAGGGGTTTTTTTTATGCTTGAAGATGGAATTTACGTGAGAAAGAACATCGAGCTTACATGATGAAAGCTAGTTCAACGATTCTTATTCACTGAGCCGAAGTCTTGAAGTTGTTTTTGAGCGTTGAATAGATCAAGCTTTATTTGGTATTATTCTAAAGCTAAAAAGTCTTACATATCATGAAAGGAGTCATCAAAATTTTAGAATTTTGAAAAAGCTATAGCATTCAAAGTCTGCTCATCGAAAAACGGATAAAAGCCAAGACTTTGAACTACCGTATTTCCTCTAATAAACGCTCCCACGTCGACTAACTTTAGACGCATCTTTCTCAGCTCCATTTTAATATATTTTTATGTTTAATATACCAAAAGATACCCCTTAATGTCTTCCATCTTTTGGTGTATTAAATCTAAAAATATCTCAAAATGGTGCTGAGAAAGAGGCGCCTAAAGTTGGTTGAAGCGGAAGGGTTTATTAGAGGAAATACGGTCCCTTCGACCAACTCTAGGCGTCTCTTTCTCAGCCCCATTTTGAGATGTTTGATTTGAGCATACCTTGTCAATCTCGAAATCAGTTTTTCTATAAACTTCTCAATAGATTTTCTATTATATTTGCTACACTGTTACCATATTTCCTCTAGTAAACGCTCGCACGTCGACCAACTTTAGGCGCCTCTTTCTCAGCCCCATTTTGAGATATTTTTATATTTAATATATCAAAAGATACCCCTTAATGTCTTCTATCTTTTGGTGTATTAAATTTAAAAATATCTGAAAATGGAGCCTAGAAAGAGGCGCCTAAAGTTGGTCGAAGGGGGAGCGTTTATTAGAGGAAATACGGTCCCTTCGACCAACTTTAGGCGTCTCGTTCTCAGCTCTATTTTAATATGTTTTTATGTTTATGATACCAAAAGATAGAAGACATTAAGGGCCATCTTTTGGTTTTTTAAACATAAAAATATCTTAAAATAGGGCTGAGAAAGAGACGTCTAAAGTTTGGCGTTTATTAGAGGAAATACAGTCCCTTCGACCAACTCTAGACGTCTCTTTCTCAGCCCCATTGAGGTGAATAAGTGATTTTGTTACTTCTAAATTTGTTTTTAAATGAAGAGAGATGTTTAGAATGAAATGAAATGTTTAGAAGGAAAATCGGTCAACCTAATACAAGAAATAGAAACGTTTTTTTTTTTTTCAAGGGCAAATTCAAGGTGAACAGCTTTTCTAGGCTTCTAGGCTTCTAGAATTCTAGGAATTCAATGCAAGCTTAGAACTTGCAAAGCGTTGACTTTTTTTTTTCAAAGATTTTTGCTTGTTTTTGCACGAATTCGAAACTGCATTTGATAGATTATGGTGGTGACATTTTCAGGAAAGAAAAAATAAGAAATTTTACGACAAATCTGTCGACAATTCACATTCGTCAGATTAAAGCTTTAGTGGGAAATCGAATAATTAACACTTTTGTTTTCTGTTCAAAGAAATATTAGCTTTCGGTCTCTCAATTCTGGTCAAATACATTGCAAGAAAAACTTTTTAATGCTAAAAATAGCAATCAAGCAATACAACTCAATTTATTTGTTTTTTTAATAATTTTCGGAATTTTTTTTAAAAATTTTATTTTTAAAAAAAAAAAAAAAAAAAATTTAAAAAAAATTTTTTAATTTTAAAATTTTTTATTAAAATAAAACACAAAAAAAAAAAAATTTTTTTTTATTTTAAAAAAAAAAAAATTTAACAAAAAAAAAAAAAAAAAAAATTTAAAAAAAAAAAAAATTTTAAAAAATAAATAAAAAAAAAAAAAAAAAATTTTTTTTTTTTTTTTTTTTTTTTTTTTTTTTTTTTTTTTTTTTTTTTTTTTTTTTTTTTTTTTTTTTTTTTTTTTTTTTTAAAAAAAAATTCTCAAATTCATTCCTTTCAAAAAAAAAAAAAAAAAAAAAAAAAAAAAAAAAAAGAAGATTTTTTTTTATTTTAAAAAAAAAAATAAAAAAAAAAAAAAAAAAAAAAAAAAAAAAAAAAAAAAAAAAAAAAAAAAAAAAAAAAAAAAAAAGAAAAAAAGCAAAAAAAAAATCAAAAAAAAAATAGTATGATAATTATTTCAAGGAAAGTTCAAAGCTAAACTTTTCTATCAGTTTTCTTTTCTATAGCTTTTCTGCCTCTGTAGCGTCGACGGACACATCTTTGTAGCTTGACGATGGGTTTCAATTGATGTTTCGCATGGAATAATGGTTTCATTGATTAAATACATATTAGAATATAGATAGATATTAGAATATACATAAACAGAACCAGAATATGGTTCTGAATATGAACCAGAATATGAAAAAGAAGAATGGATTTAGTTAAGCAACCATTTGACTGCCAGCTTTGATCAATTATTTTTGACTTTACCGTCTGTCCGTCTGCTAGCGGAAAACGGTCACCAACGTCCACGTTGGCGAGCAATCTAAGCCCCGCCCCTTTTTGCCAATGGCACAGACAGACAGATGGACAGATGGACAGACAGACAGACGGACACACAGACAGATGGACAGATAGAGGATGGACGGACAGACAGACAGATAGACAGGCAGATAGACAGACAGATAGACAGACAGATAGACAGACAGATAGACAGACAGATAGACAGACAGATAGACAGACAGATAGACAGATGGACATACGGACAGACAGACAGACGGACGGACAGACAGATGGACAGACGGACAGAAAGATTTTGTTCTGAGAATTTTGAACTAAGATTACAAAGCTAATGAATTTTTGAAGTTTCAATTGTGTGCTGAAAAAAGACATTTCGTTTTCTGTTAAACTCAAAATGTTTAACCATTTCCCATGTTTTTCTGTAATTGTTGATTTCTTTTCGATACTCGAAATTTATCGAAACTTTCTTACACAATCAATCACAACACAGAACAATGAAAAGTTTCGAAAAGGGTTCGAATTTGCAAAGATATATTAATTGTTATTATTCACAGAGTTGTTTTCCGTTTTTGCTTGAGATTTTGATGTTTCCGTGATGTAAATATTCGGTTTATATGTGGATGAAGCAGCTTCGGAGAAATTTCGACCGTTACGCAGTATCGCTTGCACCTGAATAAAGGATTCAATGCTTTTAAGCCTTTTTTGCCTTTTTTGGCCTTTTTTGACCTTTTTTGACCTTTTTTGACCTTTTTTTTGGCCTTTTTAAAGCCTTTTTTTGACCTTTTTTGGCCTTTTTAAAGCCTTTTTAAAGCCTTTTAAAGCCTTTTAAAGCCTTTTAAAATCATTATTATCTCTTTTTTTCCATCTCAATCTTATCCAACTCTTATCCAACTCAATTTCTTTCATAACCTACAGTTTTCTTTGTTTTTATAAATAACTTTGAGTCGTCTAGTTGGGTTATTGATGGGAATAGCTAAAGCCTCTTTTCAATTTCTTTTCTTTAGAATATTTGGATATCAGTAAAGTTCTGTTGGAATTCTGTTGACTGAAAAAAATCTAAATTTTCTTTTGAATAACTTAAAGGAAAGAAAAATCAAAAGTGAAACTGGGAAAAGAAACAAAAAATCATCAAGATTTCATGAGATTAGGGATATTTAAGGGATTTAACATAGGATTTAAGGGTTTCAGATAAGTTTTAAACATTAACCAAATCGAGAATTGCTTTCAAAGACGTTCACTGAATCTTTAGCACAAACAAAAACACTTTTCCACATTTATCGAACTCACCTCGGAATTCGTGTAATAATAGACGAGTCCATTGGCGCCATAATTGAGAAGAACATTCAACGAGCAAAACGAATACAAAAACAGATTCTCGCCGCCGATTAGCTGAAATGAATGGTCGATTATTTTTGGATTTTCGAATATACCTACCGTAAATACTCTAATATAACCCTATAGAGCCCCATAGAACCCCGATAGAACCCCATAGAACCCGATAGAACCTCATAGAACCCTATAGAACCCTATAGAACCCTATAGAATCCCATAGAACCCTATAGAACTCTATAGAATCCTATAGAACCCTATAGAACCCCATAGAACCCCATAGAACCCTATAGAGCCCCATAGAACCCTATAAAGTCCCATAGAACCCTATAGAGCCCCATAGAACACTATAGAACCCTATAGAACCCTAGAGGACCTTATAGAACCCTATAGAATCCCATAGAACCCTATAGAACTCTATAGAACCCTATAGGATCCATAGGGTTCCAATCTAATCCCCATAATCTATAGCTCTAGTAGTTTACCGTAAAAAGGCGGTAGGCTAATTTGCGCAATTTTTTTTGGCTTTTTGATTGACGGGGGAAAGATGCAGAAGTAGCAAGTTGTTTATTTTACAATAGTCGTACAGTAAAGCTAATTGGGCTACGGTAGCCGAATCAGTTGAGTGAACAGTTGTCGGTGATTGGGGAAAGATTAAAGAATTCCTTTCTCTATTGGTTAACTTTTCGCTAGCGGCTATTGTGCGCTAGCTAGCTGTTATTGTGCGCTAGCTAGCTGTTATTGTGCGCTAGCTAGCGGTTATTGTGCGCTAGCTTTTCTTGCTCCATTAATTTAATTTTTAGTTAATTTTTAGAAATTTGAATAGTTGATATTAAAAATTTAAGAATTAAAGAAAAAAAAAAGAGACTTCTTCCCCGTCTTTCCCTTCAATACTTTACCCTTTTCAAAACACAAAAGCTAAAGCGGTAACAGACGAGAATTTTTCAACATTATAATATAGTAAATATTTTCTTTTTCTTTACAAACGCTCCCAGATTATTTTATAGTTTCTATAGTTTTATAATTGTTCTCAAAAAACTCTAGTTAAAGCATCAAAAATTGACGATTTTCTCATCTCAATTACTTGAAAGAATTTGTTTTTTCTTTAAACTACAAAATACCATTTGAATTGTTATTTAATCTATTTTATATGTCGTAGCCGTTTACGAAATTCAGCCGCTAACGAATGATTCGTTAGCGGCTAGCCGATCCGATAGCTGATCTGATAGCTGATCTGATAGCTGATCTGATAGCTGATCTGATAGCCCATCTGATAGCTGATCTGATAGCTGATCTGATAGCTGATCTGATAGCTGATCTGATAGCCGATCCGATAGCTGATTCGATAGCCGATAGCTGATCCGATAGGCTAGACAAATCATTCGTAAACGGCTAGCGAAAAATTTCATTCTAGCCGTTTGCGAATGATTCGTTAGCGATTCGTTAGCTGAATTTCGTAAACGGCTACGATATATAAAATAGATCAAATAACAATTCAAGTAACAATTCAAATAACAATTCAAATAACATTTTCTTTGACTTACAATTGGCAAATATCGAAAACTCGTCCAGGCATTCATGTAGAAAACGGAGATGAGAAAGAATTGTTTCGCGTACTGAAAAATGGGGAATTAGTGAGGTTTTGAGTGAATTTTCGGATTATTTCATACACAATTATTCTTCTGAATCAAATGATAGTCAATATAGACGAAATGGAAGAGTTTGTGCTCGAGGAAAACGAAAAAAAACGAAAAGACCTATTGCTAAGGAGCGATGGGTTTTTTTGTTACTTTGAACGATCATTAGCTTCATGATCTAAATCATGAACTAAATAGGAAACAAAGGGTAGCAAATGGGAACCAAATAGCAACCAAATAGGACCAAATAGCAACCAAATAGCAACTAAATAGCAACCAAATAGGAACCGAATAGGACCAAATAGGACCTAATAGGGCCAAATAGGACCAAATAGGACCAAATAGAACCAAATAGGACCAAATAGGGCCAAATAGGACCAAATAGGACCAAATAGGACCAAATAGGACCAAATAGAACCAAATAGGACCTAATAGGGCCAAATAGGACCAAATAGGACCAAATAGGACCAAATAGGACCAAATAGAACCAAATAGGACCTAATAGGGCCAAATAGGACCAAATAGGACCAAATAGGACCAAATAGGACCAAATAGAGACCAAATAGGACCTAATAGGGCCAAATAGGACCAAATAGGACCAAATAGAACCAAATAGGACCTAATAGGGCCAAATAGGACCAAATAGCAACCAAATAGCAACCAAATAGCAACCAAATACGGACCAAATGAGATCTTCATGAGAATTAAATATGAACCAAATGGGAACCAAAATAGAAAGCAAATAGGAATGAAGATGAAGCTTGTTTAGTTTGAAACTTGTATCTTGAGACTTTACAATTCAAAAACTAAGCCCTGACGTCACTTTGTGTAACGCAAACGCACATGATCTAGCACACTTGATCTCATTTTTCTATTGCGCTACTTATGAGAGGACAAAGTACACAGGCAAGAGCAAACTTGTAAGTAAGTAGCCATTAAACTACAGTACTGCAGTACTACAGTACATTAAACTACAGTAAACTACAGCACTACAGTACTACAGTGCTACAGTACATTAACCTACAGTAAACTACAGTACTTTACAATGTACGCCTTTAAAATCTTAAATTCTACTGCACTTTAATCCTTTTATCTATCATTTATCTATTAAAAGCCCACCTTTATCTCCATATTTTTCTTTTTTTGAGAAACTTCCGATGCGGTTTTTGAGTTAAACACATAAATCCAGCGAACAATCTAAAAAATGGGAAATTAAAGTTCAAAAAATAAACAAAAATCTCTTTTCTAATAGATTTTTGCGTTGTTTTATGTACAATATACAATGCTCTATAAAACAAAAAACGTAAAACAAAACGATCTCTCACCCAAGAATAGCACAAAGCGCAAACGATTGTCGATGCAGAATTGAGGGGCAAATCGAAATATGTATTCGGATAGTTTAGAATATTCGGAATCGTCACATAACGATATGAATAAACAACATAATCAAAGGAAAACCTGCAAAGAAAAACCCTTTCCTTTTTGCGTTTAGTTGCACTTTTTTGCAAGTGTAAAAGCGAATAATTGAACAAATGCATGACTATCTCAAGCTCACCAAGCTCACCAAGCTCACCAAGCTCACCAAGCTCACCAAGCTCACCAAGCTCACCAAGCTCATCAAGCTCATCAAGCTCATCAAGCTTTATGACGAGGCTTTATGACGATTATTTAAGGATTTTTGTTTTTCTTTTGCTAATAAATTTCACTCACCGACAACATGGGAAAATATATTGTGAGAACACAGCCAAAACGAAAGACATTGGGTAGATGCCGAGAGTGGAAATGAGAGTCACCTTTCGGGTAAACACTGTATATCGACTGAAGCACATGACAGTGACTCTGGAAAATGATTGGATAGAATACCGATTAAAACCTACATTATTCTATGGTAGTGCTACTTTTCTTGTAATCCTTTATTCTTGTTGAACTCACCGATTAACTGCCATCAATATTTGCGAGAGTGACGATTGATACCAGAGAAGCATGAAAAGTGATGAAAGAAAGATCACGCGTTGATCATCGACACCTTTCGGGAAGAAATATGACTGGAAAATGGGAAATTAACAATATTGTTATTAAGTAGCCATTAAACTACAGTACTTTACAATGTACGGTACGACTTTGGTTTTAAATCGAACTGGGGATCGAACTGGGGATCGAACTGGGGATCGAACTGGGGATCGAACTGGGGATCGAACTGGGGATCGAACTGGGGATCGAACTGGGGATCGAACTGGGGATCGAACTGGGGATCGAACTGGGGATCGAACTGGGGATCGAACTGGGGATCGAACTGGGGATCGAACTGGGGATCGAACTTGCTCCAGAAACGAATGCTCTACGACTCGGCCACGGTTGCACCGAGCTGGGTCGGCAAGGAGGCCGTTAACACTACTGTTAACACTCACCTGAAAGAAAAGAGATGGCACAAAGTAGAACAAATGAATGACCAACATGAGGAAATCGGAGACAAGATTTGATGTGGAAATGATATAGATTGGACTCTTTCGAGAACAGAAACGGCCTCTAAAAAACGAGAATTGAAATCGTTGAATTGTTTTCAGCAATTAATTAAAATCGATTTTGCTTGCTTTGCTTGCTTTGCTTGCTTTGCTTGCTTTGCTTGCTTTGCTTGCTTTGCTTGCTTTGCTCTGCTTGCTGCTGCTTGCTTCTGCTTTGCTTGCTTTGCTTGCTTTGCTTGCTTTGCTTGCTTTGCTTGCTTTGCTTGCCTTTGCTTGCTTTGCTTGCCTTGCTTGCTTCTTGCTTTGCTCTTGCTTGCTTTGCTTGCTTGCTTGCTTTGCTTGCTTTGCTTGCTTTGCTTGCTTTGCTTGCTTTGCTTGCTTTGCTTGCTTTGCTTGCTTTGCTTGCTTTGCTTGCTTTCTTGCTTTGCTTGCTTTGCTTGCTTTGCTTGCTTTGCTTGCTTTGCTTGCTTTGCTTGCTTTGCTTGCTTTGCTTGCTTTGCTTGCTTTGCTTGCTTTGCTTGCTTTGCTTGCTTTGCTTGCTTTGCTTGCTTTGCTTGCTTTGCTTGCTTTGCTTGCTAATCGAATTGCTAAACGAACCTCCAAATCGCGTAAAGCACCATTCCAATGGCGTACAACTCATACAGAATCACCACAGTGAATCCACCGGCAACGAAGCGATAAATTGGAAGCATGATCTGCAATTTTGACGAAATTTTGAAAAGTCGAAAACCTATTTGAAGAAATTTAATCTCATAATCAAAGAACTCCAAAAAAAACATTTAAAAATTAGTTTTAAATCTCTCGATTTCGATTCGATTTCATTTTTGAGTCAACAGAAGCCTTGTCACTAATTTAGATTGAAAAAATTGTAAAACCTACAATTATTTCAAAGTTTTTTTTCACATTTCACTTCTTTTAAGCTCAAAATTAGCGCTCCTCTGTGATTAGTGCTTTTAAAAAGTCGATTCTTCGAAAACTGCCCGACTCTTTGCTCTAGCTTTTATCTAATCCAGAAAGCCATCGTTATTTCTTGTGAAAATTCACAGAATCATAGATATCTAATTAGATAAAAGATTTGATTCGATAAAAGTTAAAGTTTGGATTACGATAGTGATCGAAAGTTGGCTTGTTTTAGAAAGCTTATTAGCCGAGTGAAACACACTGTAAAGTCCCTAGTTTTATAAGTAATTAAGTAATAAGTAATAAGTAATAAGTAATAAGTAATAAGTAATAAGTAATAAGTAATAAATAATAAGTAAGTAAGTAAGTAAGTAAGGAATTAAGTAGTCATTTTATAAGTAAGTCAATTATTAGATGAAGAATTGAGTACGCCAGCAAAAAGTGTTTACAAAGTGCAGTGTTTCTGCACAAAGATCGACCAAAGAAAAGAAGATTCGGAATTGATTTCGCCCAAACAAGCCGACCATCAAAAAAAGTGATAAATTTGATATATTTGGTATATTTGACCAAAAAACGCTATGAAAAGGCTTAAAATTGAGCTCCGAATGAGACATTTTATAAAGATCTTTTATAAAGATCTTTTATGAAGATCTTTCAACCAAAATTTCCATCAAAATTTCTCACATGGTTACCCAAATTTTGTAGTCACAATGACAAGCATAAACAAAATTCGCTAAAATTTCTGGGAAAGTTGAGAAGAAAGCAGAGCTTTTTTTTCTCTGAATCATTGGTTGAACGCGAGTGTGAGGAAATTTATGAAAAATTTTCTGAAAACTCTGATTCGCAACAAAATTTCCCAGAAATCTCAGAAAGAGCAGGGATTCGTGGGGAAATTTGACGGCTTTTAGCTGAAGAATCGAGTTCATTGGGATTAGTTGAATGGGAAAAATAGGAAAAATCGGATAATAAGTATAAAATTTTCAAAATCACAAGACACAATGGAACAAGAAATCAAGAAATCAAGAAATTATCAATTCAGTGAATTTTTGCAGATTTTAAGTCTTTAATGTTTAACTTCAAAGGATTATTTCGATTTTTACCGTTTTTTTCTTTAATAGTGTACCCCACCGAGCCGAGTTGATGCCTATTTTACGGTTTCAAAGCTTTTGCAGAAGCTCGACACTCAAATCCCCCACTAGATCTCATCGTCAGCTACATTTTCCGATCCCACATCGATCGGTTCTGATAAGCGGTTCTCGAGATTTCGAGGAATTTAGACGAAGCTTAGGGTGCACTACTATTAGAGAAAATACGGTATCCGATCTTTAGAAAAAAAACTTTTGCTGACCTTTTTGCAACTTTTGCGCTTCTCATTTTCACTTTCAAATTCTGATTAAAGCCAATAAAAGCAAGAATTAGGACTTTGATTTACAGTATGCTTATTTTGTCGAGCTTTTGGTTTAATGCGTTATAATTTAGACTAAAGACATATAGATTATAACTTTGTGTATACCGTATTTTCTCTAATAGTAGTGCACCCCGGCGAGCCGAGTTGATGCCTATTTTACGGTTTCCAATTTTTTCCAGAAGCTCAACATTCTAATCCCCCACTAGATCTCATCGTCAGCTACATTTTCCGATCCCACATCGATAGGTTCTGATAAGCGGTTCTCGAGATTTCGAGGAATTTAGACGAAGCTTAGGGTGCAATACTATTAGAGAAAATACGGTAATCGGCCATTATCCGAAGAAAATACGGATCGGCCTTTATCCAATCATTACAAATTCTGAGTTTTCTAGGTACAATTGAACAAGAAATGGTTTAGCAATTGAATCAACAATCCAGTATTGTTGTAGTATTATTGTAGTATTGTTGTAGTATTATTGATGTGATTGACTTGCTTATGGACTAACAGCGTTTATCCAAAGCAATGAAGACGAATAAAAGAATTAAAATTGATTCGTAGAAATGTAGAAATGTAGAAAAAAACAATGAGAGTGAATGAAAAAAATAAAATGGCAGAGACGAGACGCTCCTAGTGACAACCTAGACAGACGTGAAAGGTGCACTTTAGAAAACGACAATTTTGTGGGAAGCATTTGTGGGAAGCTCTCTTCCAAACAAGTAGATTTCTGCAAATCGTGGGAAAATTATATTGCAAACAATTCAAGTTTCAATATTTTCCACTTCAAGAACCTAGTTTCATTAGTACTTCATATAGCTCTTTAGTTCTTTAGCTCTCTAGATCTTTAGCTCTCTAGTTCTTTAGTTCTTTAGCTTAGGAATACTCTTTAGTTCTTTTGCTTAGGAAAACTCTTTCGCTCTTTAGCTTAGGAAAACTTTTGAAAGAATTAACTTCTTCTGTTACTGTATACTTGACGATTTCTATTGACTCTTTTACAAAAGCACGCCGTCTGGCACACCTAACTTGTTTAGTAATCCAGTAGATTTCTGCAATTTGCCTAAGATCTTATACAGAAAGTAGGTAAACTTCGAGTTTCGATTTTAAATGTAACAAAAAGTAACCAATATTTTAGTGAGCTAGAGAGAGCAGAGAGAGTTTTTGAGAGCACAAAGTACGTGTTAGTGAACTGTGCAGTACTTTAATCTATAAACTGAATACTATACACTTTGTCTATAGTATTCAGTTTATAGAAAAAGTTCTTCCAATCGAAGTTACCTACCGTAAATACTGTAATCCCCCATCCCCATAATGACGGTGCGGAGCGTTGCGTAGTCTAGCTTTGAACGCGTTTTTCTCGACACTGGTTTATGCTACAATGTTTGTTTTGGTTTCAAAAAATAGCCCTGAATTTCAGCTATTTTTTGATACCAAAGACGCATTTTTTGAAAGTACGGGCGCTTTGAAAAAAATGAAATACTAAAAAACTATACTAATACTAAATACTAAAAACTTTTGCGACTACGAGACTGTACGAGGGGGGTGGGGTACTATTACAGTATATACGGTATATAAAAAAGAAATTTGTGAGCTGTGTAAAGACTCACAAAGGTACTTTCGCGTATTTGGAAACTTTTACGTTAATCTCTCAATTTTCAAATTCTCTTTGACACCATAAAAGCTGAAATTACCGGGTATTTTCCTGTAATTTTGCTGATAATCTCCAGCTACAATAAGTTCAAAGTAGTTACGTCAAACTCTGTGAAAACAGTTTTCAATTTAAATTCAAAAAAATCTGGTATCTAAACTTTGAGTTTTCTCTCGTTTTTTAATCCAAAACTCTTTGCTCTTTTATAAAAACAAAAGAGATTTTTGTTTACACAAGGAAACTTGTCATAAAATGTTTGATTTATCGAAAATCTTTACTGTTTTTGGGGGTGGGACAAATGCGACCTTTTTTTTTGCGCACCTGGACATTTGCGCACCTTTTTTTTGCTGGAAAAGGCCTTAGGAAAGGCCGTAGAGCTTCGAAAATGTTTTCATAGAAGGGAATCGTATGCGTAGCTTCCGAATTTCGACAAATCAGACCTCGCTGACACGTCAAATTTCGGCTAAAAGGTAAAAAACTACGCAACTTAACGCTTTTCCGCAGTTTTTGCCTTTTAGCCCAAATTTGACGTGTCAGTGAGGTCTGATTTGTCGAAATTCGGAATCTACGCATACGATTCCCTCCTATGAAAACATTTTTGAAGCTCTACGACCTTTCCTAAGGCCTTTTCCAGCAAAAAAAAGGTGCGCAAATGTCCAGGTGCGCAAAAAAAGGTCGCATTTGTCTCACTCCCACTGTTTTTACAATTTCTTAAGTAAAACCCTCATTTTTCACTTGATCTCATTGGTTTTTCAAATTTCAAACTTCTTATACTTGAGAAATTTGTGCGTAAACAATAAGCTCAAAAAAAACCAAAAAAAAATCCAGAGAAATTCCTAGAATTTTGTTGAAAGAATAATGAGGTAATTGGTTAGGGAAAATCTCACTCAGTGATCAAATACATTGATCAAGTACAAGAAAATGAGGGTGATTTTTGAGGCTATCAAATAGAATGGGATAGACTTGAGTGTTTTTTTTTGCTCATAAACACCAAAGCTTTTGCTTGTTATAGGGAAATTTTTCGTATTTTCACATGAATGAAGATCACATGAGTGCTTGAAAGATCTCCGTCAAAAGTTACAGTAACCCGACTGCTTTTTATGACTTTTCTCAAAGTGGATCTGCTTCGAATCATTAGAAAGAGAAAAACTGCTGGGTTAACGATAGAATTTTTGAGGAAAACTTTTAGAAAATCTTTCCTACCGTAAATACTGTAATAGTACCCCACCCCCATAATGACGATGCGGAGTGTTGCGTAGTCTAGCTTTGAACGAGTTTTTCTCGACACTCGTTTATGCTACAATGCGCGCTTAGGTATCAAAAAATAGCCCTGAATTTCAGCTATTTTTTGATACCAAAGACGCATTTTTTTGAAAGTACGCGCGCTTTGAAAAAAATTAAATACTAAAAAACCTTTGCGACTACGAGACTGTACGAGGGGGGTGGGGGAATATTAAAGTATTTACGGTATGTCTTTAAAAATCCGAGAATTAAAACATACATTTATTGAAAACCAATAATTTGATACAAACAAAGGATACATAATAAGAAATAAAGATCTAAAAACATACAATTTTATGGCACAACGGCCCTCGTTATCCCTATTACCCCTTTTACCCAAATGTTGTGAAAGAAAAAACCCCACTTCGTTGGAAAAAGAAACATTTTTATCTTGCCAGCGTGATTGAAGCCTCGATCTTCCGCGTAAGAGACAAGACTCGACAAGACAAGCCTCGACAAGACAAGCCTCGACAAGACAAGCCTCGACAAGACAAGACTCGACAAGACAAGACTCGACAAGACAAGACTCGACAAGACAAGACTCGACAAGACAAGCCTCGACAGACAGACTCGACAAGCAAGCCCGACAAGACAAGCCTCGACAAGACCAGACAAGCCTCGACAAGACAAGCCTCGACAAGACTCGACAAGACCAGCCTCGACAAGACAAGCCTCGACAAGACTCGACAAGACTAACCGGTCGGCTATCTGACCATCTTTGAGTAGAAATGCAAGATGAATGCAACAAGATGTCTGTCAAAAGAGTGCTATAGTAATCTGATTGCTTTTTAAAAGCTAAATCATCGCAATAAAATCTCAAAGTAGATGAATATTCCGAAATTGTTGCAAAGAATACATAAAACAAAGCTAAAGACGGAAAAAACTTCAACCAAAGACTTGAGTTGACTTTGAAATTTGGGCTCTTATCGAGTTTTCAGGTATTTTGAACGAGTCGTCACGCTTTGAAGGCCTATAACTTTGTCCAGAGATCATATTTTTGTTAACTTTTTATATCATTGTACAGAGGACATTTCAGGCTTTCAAATGATACCAAAGAGAGCTTGATTAGTTTTTTCATTCCCATGCAAACAAGGTGAGACGACACCCGAGTTGGATCGGCCTCGTTTGCTCAGAGTTGGCTCTGATTTTCTTGGACTGGATTATTCAATCAAGCTCTATTTGGTATCATTTGAAAGCCTTGAATGTCCTCTGTACAATGATATAAAACATTAACAAAAATATGATCTCTGGATAAAGTTATAGGCCTTGAAAGCGTGACGAGCCGTTCAAAATACCCGGAAACTAATTCAAATCGTGAATTTGATTTTTCGAACACTGAACAATTACTGTATTTAGACTGTTTTAAGACAAAATTTCTGAACTTTGCAAAAATTTGCAAACGAATAATACAAATCTTTGAGACAATGGATTTGAATTTTTTCTTGGTATTGGCGGACTTTGATTTCTTCTTGGAAACGTGTGGATTGTAGAAAATTGGCTCTTTGACAGAAAGGTATTAGATGGAAATGAATAGAAACCATTGTCGAGGTAACAATTGGATAGAAGGGGGACAATAGAAATCCACTAGGGAAATATCTTTGGACTTTCGATAATCGGATAAAAATAAGTACAGAAAGTGCAGAAAATGAGCGTGATTTTCGAGAAAACAAGAGATTTATACCTGGTGAACAGGGAAGTGCGGGGATTTTCGTTCAAGATCACAAGATAACTTTCTTTATGCAATGTGCTTTTTGCAATTTGTGAGCACACTCGATGCTCGATGGTCTATGTAGGAAAAATAGAGCTGGCTTGGGCTTTGGCATGGCTTTGGCATGGCTTTGGCATGGATTTGGTTGGCTTTGGCTTGGATTTGGCATAGCTTTGGTTGGCTTTGGCTTGGCTTTGGCATAGCTTTGGTATGGCTTTGGTATGGCTTTGGTATGGCTAGCTTGGCTTTGGCATGGCTTTTGACTTGGCTTTGGTTGGCTTTGGCTTGGCTTTGGCTTGGCTTGGGCTTTGGCTTCACTTTGGCTTCACTTTGCTTTGGCTCTTTGGGTATTTTTAGCCTAAAACATATGCTAAATAGCTCAGAAAAGTACCGTACATTGTTGAAATCCCTAAACCGTCCATTGTTCTCATTCATTGTGATCGCATTTTTGACGTCGTTTTTCGTGTTTGATTGTGTTCTAGGATTGGCTAATCCTTAGAATAGATATCTTTCTAGAAACTGAAACAATAGAAGTCTACTATTTAGCTCTTTATCCGTTTTCTTTTCCATATCCAATTCTAATCTAATATGCAAAACGAGAACAATACCTAAAGAAAAAGATTTTTTCATTGTTTAAAAACTGAAGCTAAAAATGGTAAGGATAGATAGATAAGAATAGATAAGGAACCAAATTTAGAGAGATATGGAACGAAATCTGGAGAGGTAAGGAACCAAATTTAGAGAGATAAGGAACAAAATTTAGAGAAATAAGCAATCAAATTTAGAGAGATAAGGAGCCAAATTTAGAGAAATAAGCAACCAAATTTTGTTTATAAAGTACTTAATGAATGTGATTTTGAGTGGATTTGAATTTAGAAACATTAAACATCAAAATTTTATTTAAACTCATCAACAAAATGTACAATCTCTCAAAAATCTCTAAATAATATATATAAAATGTACAAGTTTATACATAGATTTCGATAATTTATGGATGTAAATAGATCAATTTCTTCTCATGAAGATTCTTGATCGAATCGGCGATCACTTTCCAATTGTCTTGCTGATATCCGCCTGAGGTAACCATTGCGACTGGAAATATTAAAGAAAAAATGAAGACCTTTGAACATTTCACTTAGCAGAACATGTTTAGCTGATTTCTGTAAATCTTTTGAATTTTAAAAGCTATATTCTACTGCTGTAGAGTTACAAATGTTAGACAAATGTGAAAAGACTTTTGCACCGCGATTTTCAGGGGTGTTTTGACAATTATATTTTTTTCTCAATGAATAAGTGTTGTATAGTGATAACGTTCGTGTAAATAAATTGTACATATATTTGTGTAACTAAAACTATTAATAGCTTAAAGAGCGCCATGAACTTTATCAAAGAAAATTGATGAAACTTTTTAAAAAATTGAATGTGAAAAGACTTTTTCACATGACTCTATATTCTACTGCTGAAGGGTTACAGTACACTCCTACAACATCGATACACTAATCCAATTGCTAGTTTACATTCGATTCGCTCAATGATATCATTGACTATGTCTTGTTGATTCTATCGAATGATATCATTGAGCGAATTGAATGTAAACTAGCAATTGGATTAATGTATCGATCGAATGATGATTCTATCGATGAATGAATGAATGATATCAAAATCTGGCTGATCAAATGTCTATTTGGTTACCGTAAAAGCTCTAATAGAAGCCCCCCTATAGCCGCGTCGCGTAGTCTAAGTTTACTCTTAAACAAACGCTCATATCTCGGCATCCAGAGATCTGTTTCTGCGCGCTTTGATATCAAATTAAAGTAGAGAGGGTGGGTGATTTTTTGAGATATAACACATATTTATAGCATTAAGCAGCGCTTAGAAAAAAATGATTGAAAACTGAGCTTTTTTTACCACTTACTTGGAATTGAGTGCTCTTGTGCGAGCCGAAAAACGAGCTCATCTCGAGCGACGATTCCCTAAATAATCACTGAATACCATTTCTGAATAGACAATAAAAATAAATTTGATATTTACATGTGGAGTGAGATCCAATCTTCCCAACGGATCGCCCATCAAACTATCCGTGCCAGCATTGTAAACGATGAGATCGGCTGAGAATTCACCGAAAACCGTGTCCATCGATGTCTCTAGCATGCTAAATGAATGATTTATAATTAGAGTTTAGAATATTTCAAAATTTCACCTAAGATAAGCAATATCTCCAGTCCGACTTCTCATCTCGACACCTCGACTGATCGCATTTTTCGCCTCCACATCATGCGGATAAATATCCGGATTATAGACCTAAACACTCTACATCTACAAATGATATCTGTGGATGTTTGATCTAAAAACATCTACACATATCTATTGTACATTTTATTGATCTACAAACATTACATCAACAATAAACACTCGTGGATCGTCAAGGAAATCCCTCTCATGACCATTTCCCTGAAAAGAAAAGAGATTTCAATGAAATGATTTCGTTTTCCTTGCCTGATGTGCATCAACATCCAAAATGATGACTTTATTCACGAGATTCAATAAAAATAACATCTTCACTGCAAGGGAAATGTCCGCATAGATACAGAAACCACCGCCTGAAAGGATTGGGGGAAATGATTGACACTAACCGACTTTATTGCTTTAACTTAGCATCGATTGGGATATGAAACCTAGCGCAGAAATGCCACCTTGAAATTCTAAGCGATAAATGTGTGCCAGTTTTACTCCATAGCATCCAGTTTTCGAGAAAACCCTTTTGAAGTTTGGGCACCTTTTGGAAAAACGACGCCGCCGCTATATGAGGCTGAGTTACTTCCCCTCAAGCAATTACCCAATGATGCAGCGAATAGTGTGCCCGCCGGCTTTAGGGCGAGCGGATGCTCTGGTTCGAATCCCCATTGTCAAAACCTTTTTGTTTTTTCCACTAAAACCAATTTAGGTATTTGAAAGTGTCAATAAACAGTAAGAAGCTTGCTTTAACTTAGCATCGATTGGGATATGAAACCTAACGCAGAAACGCCACCTTGAAATTCTAAGCGATAAATGTGTGCCAGTTTAACAGGGGTCCTAGTCCGAAAATAAATCTCCTAAAAAACCAATCAGAAGCTAGGTCAAGGGCAGACAAGATGGACAGGCTTTGTGTGACAGAACTGCCAGGTCAGGTAGCGCCAGAAGTACTTGACTTCAGATCTAGTCTGGCAAAATTGCCTTGGAACAATCCAGTCCATTGTCTCACTAAAGTATCTACAGTGTTCCAAAATCAAAAAGGATCCGATTGATAAGGATAAACATTGTTCAAATTCTGCGTCTACAAGGATATCTCTAGTTGTAAGTATTCATCTTCTATGCATAACTTTTGAAAGGTACCCCTTGATGAAGATGCATGATGAAATCCTCCTCCGATATTAATTGCCCAATTCTTGATGAGCGCCAAACGACACGCCGCCACCGTTCCCCCGACGTGGAAACTGGAAAGAGGAAAATATAAAGTGGAAATATTTTTTGGTTTACCGCATTCTTTTCAAGAGATATCGATCCAACAAACAACACGGAATCATTGCAACAATCGGCATTTCGACAATCTAAAAGAGGAAAGTTTCGTAGAGATTTATATAGTACAATGCCAGTAAATACAGCAAGACAGTAAGTAATTTTTTCTTTTTGATTTGAGAAACATTTTTGATATGTGAAGCACGATTTTATAAAAAAAAATATACATCATGCCAGACGCTTTTATTTACGAAGCTGATCTTCATCAGCTTAATGATTTTCATCAACTTAATGATCTTCATCAGCTTAATGATTTTCATCAGCTTAATGATCTTCAACAGCTTAATGATCTTCATTTTTCTTATAGATCCCCGATTGAGCTAAAAATTGAAATATAAGTATAAAAATGGTATAGCAATGAAATTATAACAAACTTGACGTAATCTGATAGATTTTTTTGAGTTAATTTGCCTTCATATAAAGCTACATATATTTCAATTTTTAGCCAAATCGACAAGCCACTCTGTAGAATTCAGAATACTGAAATTTTACAGTGTTTCGAAGAGTTAAAGTCACCTTAGCCACTTCACATGAGCATTGCAAACTGTTCAGGTAAGCAGCTGTGTGCACAATTCGAAGATCTCGCTTTTTCGCTTCTCTCGGCTCTACCACCGAATGATCACTCAACAGTTGAATCTCTGAAAAATTGAATGAACGAGGAAAAAGAAATTCATTCGCACCTTTCAATCTTTGAAAAACTTTTCCCCATTTTGACGCGTCGAAAACGTGATATTTCTCGATTCCGAAGAATTTCACGTCGTATTCTGAATGAAAAATGACGGGTACCTAAAAGAAGAAAAACGTTTGGGGAATCAAATGAATATAACCTGATGATCGCCGATTGGAAGAAAGAGATTTGTCGCCAACGCGGCACATTCCTCTTTAGACCTAAATTTACATACAAAATTTGAACAATTTACTTTGAAAACCTTTTCGAATTTTCTTCTTTTCTTCTTTTCTTTTTCATTTCATCTTTCTTTCTTTCTTTCTTTCTTTTCAATCGAAATGTGCTGCACGAGGAAGAAAAAGAAAAGGTTAAATTTTTAATTTTAAAGTTACAAGTAAATCTAAGGGTTTAAAAAGTTAAAAGATTTCAAATCTAGGCTAAAAATTGTTTATGCTTATTATTTTGAGTGCATTTATGGGAAATCTATTGTGCTGAATCGAAAATGAAACCAATTTTGAAACCAATTCTAAGGTACAAATGTTTCCAGGCAAGTACTACTAGCTTTGTAAAACTTTAAATTCTGTTAGAGCCCGATTAGGACTTAGTAGTCCTGGTCAGGCTCTTGCTTAGCCCATAAAAAGTCGTTGGATCCGCCAGAAGCCTAGGCTTGCCCGGCCTGGCTTACAGCCTCTATGACTTTTTTTTGATTATAGTAATTTCTAACCATAACTCTAATAAAACCAACATGTGAACGGTGGTTTTTATCGGCGATTGCTCGATTCTTGAGGTTCCCGGCTCATTCCTGTGTCCATCAACGCCTCCATCGGCCATCCTCAAAGCGATCAGTTTAAAAAAAAAATACCGATTATCGTTTTCAAAACGATAATTTGCACAAATTTCTGCAAATTTATGAGCACTTTTGCGCAGATTCTAAATCTCACCTGTTATTGGTGATACATAGATGGCTTATTAGGTAATACTTAGATTTCGTGGGTCGGGGTATTGTTTGCCTCGAACACTTGATCCCTTCACCTCAATACTCTGAACATTCCCATCAAATTTCTCCTCTTCTCCTTTCCATTCCCCGCCCACAAATCCGTGCCCTTTCCTCTCCCCTTTTCTCCACTTATTACTCTTTTTCTCCTTTTTGTCTAATTCATAAATTTTAGATGCTAAATTGATTTTTACGATTTTATTTGAGCGAAAGCGCCAACACGATAGATGCAATAGATTTTTATTTGAAATCAATCCTTTCCTAACAAATTCGATTCATTTTACTGTAAAACAGTACATTTTTTGGCTTAGAAAAAGACAATCTTTTGATAAAGTGATAGATTTCTGTAATTATTTTATTTTTAGAATGGAGGGACCGCCGCCTTTCGAGAACTGTGAACTTGTTGAAGAGCGGTCCTCGGTCTTCTCGATTGGTTCGTTTTTTTCAAGATTACCCTAAAGTCGCGAGTATAAGTTCTGTTTGGTTTTCGCATGCAAATTGACGGCTGTCTCCGGTGCGGTGTGTCGAGGGTTCGAACCCCGCTGCAGCATAACTTTTTTTGCTTTTTAAGAACAATAATAGAAGTAAATTTATTAAGGGTTATAGCAATTTTATGCTGTTATTTGTTGCTCCGGGCGTGGCTCGGCGCGTCCGCCCTGCTCCTCTCCGGTGCTCAGTCTTATGGATCCCTCCCTGGCCTCTTCATCTGGCCAAAGTCCACGTCGACGGTCGAAAGAGATGCTTTCCAGCGTCTTCTTCAACACTATCGTCTGGATGTATCCATGCACATAACAAATAGCAATGGTGATAGGCTGTCACCCTGTAGTATCCCGCGCTCCAAGAACAATAATAAAAGTTTATATAACAATAAAAACCCAACAAAAAGAAATTCAAAGCAATTAAAGCGAATGTAAATTAAGGCAGAACTTATACTCGGATGAACTTATACTCGAGACTTTAGGGTATATAGATATTATTGGAGTAGACTTGTTCAATGTTAATTTTTGCCATTTTCACTGGCTTGTTTATCATTTATAATGTTTTTTATTTTTAGAAGATGACGGCGAACCACCTGACATCTCGTTGCCCGACGCCGATTTTGATAGAGGTACGGAGTTTTATGCTAACCTTCAAAAATTGTCAGTTTATATAGATTTCTTTCTTGTTTTCATAAGATAATGTAAAAATATTTAGTCAACAAACCCATGCCAACAACAAAACGACGAGTCGAGACGTTTCAAGAAGTGACCGAAGCGACCACGTCGATCCCCGAATACACCACCGATTTTGAGATGACACGACCTGAATGCAAAAGTTCGTTCCACTTTTTTAAATCATCTGGGGGTGGGACAAATGCGACCTTTTTTTTGCTGGAAAAGGCCTTAGGAAAGGTCGTAGAGCTTCAAAAATGTTTTCATAGAAGGGAATCGTATGCGCAGATTCCGAATTTCGACAAATCAGACCTCACTGACACGTCAAAGTTGGGCTAAAAGGCAAAAACTGCGGAAAAGCGTTAAGTTGCGTAGTTTTTGCCTTTTAGCCCAAATTTGACGTGTCAGCGAGGTCTGATTTGTCGAAATTCGGAATCTACGCAGACGATTCCCTTCTATGAAAACATTTTTGAAGCTCTACGACCTTTCCTAAGGCCTTTTTCAGCAAAAAAAGGTGCGCAAATGTCCAGGTGCGCAAAAAAAAGGTTGCATTTGTCCCACCCCCAATCATCTATAATTTGGTGCATTTTCTAGATTTTCTTTTTGCTTTATATAGAGTTTTTATTTAGATTCATCACTACCGCATACCAAGAAAGCTACAGAATGCAACGGCCACGTCGACACGCCGAGTCTCTCCGGCATCAGTGAAACGATCAACGAGGATTCGGGGATAAATGACGTAAGTTTGCATTGAATTAAATGTTTTCATAAAAAATATTACAATCTTTGAAATTCAGACTCTTTCCTCAACCCAGGAGTCGACTGAGATCATCACTGCAATCAGCCAAACGAGTCTTGTTGTCGAAGAAAATAATGGTATCTTTTATTTTAACACAAGTGCAAAGTTATTATTTAGCGGAAATCGTGCAAGAAGACGACGATGCTTTTGGAGATTTTGCCGATTTCGCTGAAGCATCTTCATCCACGAGTCAACAATTACCCTTTGAAGAAACTACACAACCATCTGGAGGTAATTTTTAGTATCATTTTTCTAAAATATTAGCATTATTTTAGATTCGATATTCGTTCATCGAGACCTTGAAAAAGCTTCCGGAGATGTTGATGACAATCAATGGGCAGCTTTTGGGGTATTTTACAATTTATTCTTTAAAAAAACAAATATATTCGAAGTTTGGCACAAAGTAATATTCCTGTATGAGAATTTTGTGGTTTAGGAAACGGCATCGGTATCGGTAAATCGTTTTTCCGCCGAAGACGAATGGGGAGATTTCGGGGCTGCTGCCGAGCAACCGGCAACAGTGAAAAGTCCTAGAGTACGTTTTTTTGAAAGAATTAGTTCAGTTAAAGAATGTTTAAGATAGGGCTATGCGTGGATTGTTTAAAGTTTGCGGTAAACGTTTGATCAATTTTTTTTTTCAGCTAACTTCGCGTGCCTCAATCAACGACGACGATTGGGATGAAGCGGATTTTGTGAGTGCCCCCGTAATGAATCGACCCTCGGAAGTTCCATTGGAAACACAAGTAAAATTTTTGTATGCTTCTAACACTATGCTTGCTTAGATGTAATTTTAGAAACCTTTATTTTAGCAAGCAAATCTTTAGATCAACTTGCCGATTATTGTCGATGAAAAGTTGTCGTTATCGGTTTTTGAAGATCTGTTGCTAGAAGAGGTGATGTTAAAGTTGTGTTTTTTTTTTGCAAATACAATCATTTTTAGGATGAAGAACAGATTCAACTAGACGAAGATGTGCATGTCTTTTCGTTACGAGAAAATTTGGACAAAGATGCACCTGAAGCATTAGTTAGCGAGCTCGTTTCAAGGTGTTTTTTGATAGTGACTACTTGATTGCCCAAATTCTTTCGGTTTAATTGTTTTTCTTTAGGTGTACGGAGATTTGGCTTGCGCTTCGCATTGTGGAGAATGCGATCTCTCTTCGGCACCAATTTCCGGCTTCGATCCTCGAGGCCGCTTTTCACAAAGCTCTACATGTTGATAAAGTGAGTAATTGTCGGATTAATCAAAGGATTTGTGTAAATTGTAAGCAACTTCTACCTCTTTACAATGGCGTCAGGAGATCGAAATTTCTGTTTTACTATGATTTCTACACATCAGATTTTTTCCAGAAAATTCTCCGAAATCGTGGTAATGGTGTGTCTCAACTTTTGACCAGCTCTGTACTTATCCCTACGCCCATCAATGAACAAAAGTTAGTTTGATAGTTTACTACTTTTTTCACACTTTTAAAATCTATTTTTTAGCCGTGGTGGCCGCCCGGTGACCCTCTCCGCTTTATCATCTACTGTATCCACTGCACATGCGACAAATCCATCTTGGCAATTACCCAATGAAAGTATGCCCATTTTCCCAAGTCATCGCCTAACTTTTTTCTATAGATCTTTCCGCTTTGTCGACGGCGAAATCCGACGTTTCAATGGCCACAACACAGGTATGTTGAGATTTTTTGGTACTCGTCAATCTTCACTCGTCATTTTTTATGAACATTTGATATTTTACGCCCAGAGTGGTCGGCATCAGATTCAGAAGTATTGCTTCCTAAATTCACTGTTTTCTCTGTTTAGCGAGTTTGGTTCTCGCGACGATCTTTACGCTTTTGGCGTCAATCTGAAGCTAGCCCAGAGAAAGAGATAAAACAATCACCAAAAAATAGAAGCAAATCGATGGTATATTCTCGGGTGATGTCCAGAGTGGTTTTTGTTGGATTCATCTAACTGAGTTAATTGCTAATTGAATGAGGTTTTTTTAAAAGAACTTAGAGTATCCTCTTTGTTTTCTAATCAGGGTTGATTTTTGGGATGGAGCGTGCATCATTAACATATCTGTGTAAATGGAGATTTTTAACTGTACTAATAATATCTCTTGCCAGTTGCGCTGGGCATCTGCTACGCGGCTGCTTTGCTAAAATTTATATTAATCTTTAAAATTACCATTTGGAAATTTGAATACGAAAACTTTCCTTTCCTTCCCTTCATTCTTGTCAAAACTTCGTTGGTCGTTTCATTGGTTTTTAGAAATTTGCAGATTTGATACCAAAAACGTAAGAATTTTAAAAAATCTAACCACTTTCCTTTCTTCCCCTTCCCTAGTTCGATACTTTACTCTCTTCAAAACGCAACTGGTGAAGTGAAATCGTGGTTAGCAGACACACAAACACATAAATCGACAGACAATTTTTCAAAATTATAATTCTCTTATGTTTCAGTCTCCTACAATTTCTTCGGTGGACTCATTAGCTGTACCGCCGGCTGATTTCAATTGGGCCGACTCGGGATTGACGAATCCGTTGAAAGCAAAAGGTGAGTAGAGTTTGGCTGGTTAATGTAGTATTCTGCACGACTTTATAGAATAAGTAGTTCTACTACAGATATTACGATAGAGTATTGCCACTTTTCGAAGTTTTAGAATTGAAAAGGAAACTTATAACGATAAACATTCAGGTTCAACTCCATCAACAACCCTTCTCGATATCGATTTCTTCGCGGCGAATGGCCCAGTGACGAATATTTCGAGTGCGACTACTCTTGAAAAGTGAGTCTTTTTTTGAATTCGATTGGTTTTATTGAGACTTCAACAGAGTTATGTTGCTCTTTTTAGGGATCTTGATGAGTTGGGATTGTCTTCGGTGGGAAGCTCCTCGAAAAATGATCATAGCCCAAAGCCAACAACTCAACAAAGGTATCATTTACTTGTTTTTATTTACGTTTGACTTCATTTTTAAAACAATAAGTCGCTCATAATTCTTTTTATTTTTCCAGCTTTAAACATATAAAGATAAATCTAAAATCTCGTCTTTTAGTGGCGGTGTTTTGTCAAGTCTATTGGGTGGGAATCTCGGCGGCACCTCTTCCTCATCTTTTTCTAATCATCGTCCTCCACTTGCAATCTCCGAATTATCATTAGATGCTCGTGCTCTTCATGATCAATTACCTGATATCGATTTTCTTCGTTCTCGAATAATTATGTTCCCCATTGGTGGCCTCAATCCGAAATACAACAATAGCCCCAAAAAATAGTCGTCTATTTGTTTGCTTTTTTGCTTTATTTTCTTTTTTTTTTCAAATCTAATGGGTATCTTTTTACGATCAGCTTTTTGTGATTCTATTCCTCCTTTTTTTCCTTTTTTTTCGGTTGTGGCAAATATTCGTTGTGATTTTTACTCTAATAAAATATGAATATTTTTCCTTTTTTTAAAATGAGCTTCTCTAATGCGGCCATGCTAATTTTTGCCATGTCGCTCTATCCAGATCTAGCATAATTTTTGAAAATTCCTTTCTTCATAAACAATTTTTTTCTTAGAGATTCAGTTGTGCAGCTTTCGTTTCACATAGATAGGGTAAATTTTGGGTTTTTCTTTTTTTTTCTTTTTTTTGGTTTTAAACCACCAAATGAGCGACAGTCTGAATTCACTTGTAAAAACGTATTGTTTGTGATATATCTTCCCTTTATCCTCTACTGAAATTCCCACTTTATTCGCACAGAAATGTATCCTTTCAAATGTGATAGCTTTCTTTTTTTTTTTTTGAAACTCTCAGCTTTGTTGTCTTTTTCTTGATGCAAATAGTTTTTTTTGCTTTTTTTCCTAAACAAGTGCACTTAAGTCGACAAATAGACATCAACCTACCGTAAATACTGTAATAGTACCCCATCCCCAAAATGACGGTGCGGAGTGTTGCGTAGTCTACCTTTGAACGCGTTTTTCTTGACACTGGTTTATGCTACAATGTGCGCTTAGGTATCAAAAAATACCTTAGATTCAGAGCTATTTTTTGAAAATACGAGCGCTTTGAAAAAAATGAAATACTCAAAAACTTTTGCGACTACGAGACTGTACGAGTACTTACGGTCTATTGAACAAAACCAGAGGCAAGGTTACAATAATCGCGCACTCTTTTCGATCACTTTACCAACGGAAACGAAAAAGGATTGAAAATTATTGCACTACCAGCAAAAAAGCAAAAGAAATGGCGGCGAGAGGAGTCGAACCGGAAACCTCTCTTCCGTTCGTTTCAGAGACGCCCGCGTTAACCGCTCGGCAACTTGACCGCTGGCGCAGTGTGAGCGCACTTGTCTCTAGCCCACACGATCCGACTCCAGCCCACGTTGGCACTTTTGATTTTTTAAAAATTTAAAAACATGTTGCACAACTACATGGAATTCTAAGCCAAACTAACGATAAGTAATTTGAAACGATCCACTGAGTGCTGAGGAGTAGTGCGCACAGACAGAAGGACAGACAGATAGATAGACAGACAGACAGACAGACAGATAGATAGACAGACAGATAGACAGACAGGCAGGCACAGCTCTTTTATATCTAGTAGATCAATAAGTTACGGGGAGTAATGCAAGAGATGTAAAAAAATAAACGAAAGGAAGAAAAGACGATGAATTTTCGATTTCATCTACCCCTCGTTCTCGACTTTTCCAGTAAAGGCTTCTTATTGCATTTCTCCTTTTTGCCGGCTTCTATTTCGAAAAATTTTCTACTTTTTAAAGTATAAATTGCTCAGCTAAAGCTGAGCAATTTATGACTCTTGATACTTTGAATTTAGTGAAAAATTGAAAAATTTACGAACTTTACTCATTGAACAAATAAATTTTTGTTATCCAATTATCTTCAATTTCTTTTTTTTTCTCCTTTCCCGGATTGACAATTTCCGGGCAAACACATTGATTTTGAACCCATTTTTGCGGTGCCAAAAAAAAGGATTCTTTTTAAAATACCCTGCTTATTTTATTAATTTTGCAATTTGTTAAGAAAAAAGAAAATTTGCAGAAATGCAGAAATTTTTTTTTTTTGATTTTTGCAGAAATGATTATTTTTCGTTCGTTTTCGATGATTATCATTGTCGGTAAATCCATTTTTAAATGATTTTAAATCATTTCAAAAACGACAGCTGTTAAATGTGACGTTCTCATGGAATCTTATAATTTTGATTTCAATCATTTCAAATCATTTCAAAAACGACAGCTGTTAAATATGACGTAAATTCTCATGGAATCTTAGAATTTTATGATATCAATCGACGCAAATCTGTTTGAGATTTGAGGGAGAAAAAAAAAGTAATTCGGGGCAAATGATATTGAAGCGGATAAATGGAAAAAAGAGAGAGACGGGAAAGGGGAATTACTCTTCAAGAAGGATTAGTCTTCAAGAAGTATAAAAAGAAATTTTCATTCTCATTCGCATTTATTTCGCCTTTTTGCACACATCCAAGATTGGATGCATTTTGTTTGGAAAAGCTTGAAGCTTTGTTTCGAGGAATCTAGAAAGTTGATTTCGATATTTTTGGATTCATTGGATTTGAAATTGGATTTGATTTGATTTGATTTGGATTTGATTTGGATTGGATTTGATTTGGATTTGATTTGGATTTGAATCTTGATTTGGATTGGATTTGATTGGATTTGAAATTGGATTTGATTTGATTTGATTTGAATTTGATTTGGATTTGATTTGATTTGAATCTTGATTGGATTTGATTTGATTTGATTTGATTTGATTGGATTTGATTTGATTTGGATTTGATTTGATTTGATCTAATTTGTATTTGATTTTGATTTGATTTTTATTGGAATCTTGATTTGAATTTGATTTGATTTGAATTTGATTTGAATTTGATTTGATTTGAATTTGAATTTGATTTGATTTGAATTTGAATTTGATTTGATTTGAATTTGAATTTGATTTGATTTGAATTTGAATTTGATTTGATTTGAATTTGAAAATTAAGCACATATGAAAAATCTCCCGCTCGCTCGCCTCGCTCGCTCACCTCGCTCTCTTCTTTTTTGTCTTTTAGCTTTTTTTCTCATTTTCCTTGTGATTTCTAGAAGAAAAACAATGCATTGCGTGCACTAGAAAGTGTTTGTTTACATTTTTGCACAAAGTACAATAAGAAAATCTTGATTTAGATGGGAATCCCCGAAGAAGATCGTTTAATTCTCGGTCTAATCTATGCTTCCACCTCGATTTCCTCACTTTTCCTCAATCTACTCATCCTCGCCGTTCTCTGTAAGGTAAATAATATGATTTTATGCTCTTTCAGGATGCACCAGAGTTTTTAATTTAGTATAAGCCATTCGATAAACCGTCACCCTGAAATTTCGGAGTATAAAATACTATTTTGTGCTACGAGCGTAGAAATAGCGTAATAAAATGAAGCTTTCGAAGCGAAGCGCAAAAAAGATCAGAAGTTTAAAGATTAAAGGTTTTTTTGCCGTGTTTTAAAATCAAAAAAGAATTGCTCGTCTTTCAGGAAAATCGTTTCTACAAGAAATTCCCGTTTTACTCTTTCTCACGACATGTCATTTATTGTGATTTATTGAAATGTTTTATTGAATTGATCTTCACCGTTCCGTCCACAATTTACTCGTACAATGTAAGCGAGAAATAAGCATAGACAAGAATTATCCAAAACAATTTTCCCAATTTTCCCAATTTCCTTAGATTTACACCTTCAATTCGTCTCTTTTCTGGGCATCGACATGGTTCCCGAAAATCGAGACTCTTCCACAAAAGGTACGAGAATTAAACGAGTGATAGCGAGTGATAAAGCGAGTGAAAATAGTATTATACTTCCCATAGTAATGGGGAGTCCTCAACATCAGCCTCAACTTCCCATTACTATGGGGAGTCCTCAACGTCAGTCTCAACTTCCCATAGTAATGGGGAGTCCTCAGGATTTAACGACCTGTCTTTTAAAATCGAGACTCTTCCACGAAAGGTACGAGAATTAAGCGAGTGAAAACAGTATTATACCTTTGGTTATGGTGTAGATAATTTGAGTGTAGAAGTGAGAATGTGAGGTTTGTTGTTTATTCTGTAAGAATGAAAGATTCAGAGGACCTTTTCCTGCCACTTTCAGCACATGGGACTATGACAATTTTGAGAAGAGTAGACATGAGGAAATACGTTGAGGGGTGATCGGGTGCATAAATTAAGGGAAGGGAAGAAAAACTATTTCCCGGAAGAACTAGAGGGCAATTTATTTCCCTCTAGTTCTTGGCTCGGGCTCTGGATCGGCCCGGGCTCGAAGATCGGGCCATCCGAAGATCCGCCTCCCTAGTCTGACCTCGAAATATCGGGGGAAGTGTCTAAAGTAGAGAAATAAAATGGTTAGAGTTAGCTTTGGAAACATAGTGACAGAATATATATAAAGGTTCGATTACGAAAGTTACATAATATATATTCTGTCGGTACCTTTATATATATTCTGTCACTATGTTTCCAAAACTAACTCTAACCATTTTATTTCTCTACTTTAGACACTTCCCCCGATATTTCGAGGTCAGACTTAGGGAGGCGGATCTTCGGATCGCCCGATCTTCGACTCCAGAGCCCGAGCCTCTGATATCCCTGATAGAGAGACATAAAAGGAGGGTTTCTACTTGATGTTTTTGTAAAAACGGGTATCCGATCGTAGTTTTCAAAAAATAAAACGCTTTAGAAAAGGCGGTTAAACAAATTAAACTCAGCCAATAACTTGAAATTCCATTTAGGGTGTGATCGTTTTCCTCTTGATCGCCTCTTTGCATCGACTTTACCTTTTTGTCTACCCACAAATGGAGGCCTATTGCTTTCGAGAATACGCGAGTATTATGTAAGTAAGCTTGATTGTAAGCTTGATCATTTTTCATTAGACAAAAAACAATAACTCTTAACTTCAATTTTCAGTTGGCGCTTCCTCGGCTGGGTCTACATCATTCTCAACACGTTTAGCGCTGATTTTATCGGCTGTAGTCGAGTGTTTTCATATCAAAGTGAGGAATTTCATTTCATATCATCAATTCTAGTAGCCTAACTTCTTGATAAACAAAAAAAAAGCAAACAAAGGTGCTTTACGGTTGGAGGAGGAGGAGGAGGAGGAGATTTTTAAGAGGAGATGAAGGAAGGGAAGGGAGGTGAGTTTTTGGTCAACTTACAGCTCATTTTTAAGCACCTTAAACTTTTCAGATCAGAAAGTTTCAACAAGCTTTAGATAGCTTAAAACGTCAACTTTCAGAAAGTATTTGTTTCATTAAAAGTTATTAACAAAAACGTCTCTAAAATCGGGCTGTAAAATGGTCAAAAACTCGGCGGCTGCCATAAACGTAAAGATTTGAAAGAAAGATCCGAAAGAAACCTTTAGGTTACTACTATTATTGGATTTGCGAGCCGACACCGATTGCTGAATTCTATATACCGGTTTATTTTTTTGTAAAAAGACAAGGGTTTTCAAGAAGTTTCTTCTATAAAATTTGGCTTTATCAAAAGGCTTTTCTTTTTCTCTTTTTTATCAAAATTCCTCTCTCATCTAGATCATTCATCTAGATCATTCATTTAGATGATTAGAATAGATAGAATTCCATCTAAATTCTATCTATTGGGTTGATGGAAAAGTCCTTTCCGATTTTTTGGGAGAGTACCTTAAATTTGTATGCTTTAGATCTAGTGGCTCTTTGCCGTAAGTAATTGGCTTATTGATTTCAGTATGTATTGTATGATTAAGTATCACTGTGCATTTCTCTATGATTTCTTTCACTTTATCGTTTGAATAAAGTATTATTATATTGGGTTGATGGAAAAGTCCTTTCCGATTTTTTGGGAGAGTACCTTAAATTTGGGAGAGTATTTTTTTTGGCTCTGCCGCCCTTTACTAAAATAGCTGTAAAAACTTTTAGAAAAGAGATATCTCAAAACGATTTTTACCAATCGATCCGTCTTGAATTCAGCTTTAGGATGAGCTATAAAACGTCAAAATTCGACAAATTTAAGGTACTCTCCCAAAAAATCGGAAAGGACTTTTCCATCAACCCAATAGATAGAATTTAGATGGAATTCTAAATGAATGATCTAAATGAATGATTTAAATGAATCATCTAAATGAATCATCTAATAGAATTTAGATAAAATTCTAAATGAATCATCTAAACAAAAGAGGAATTTCGATAAAAAAAAGAAGCCAAAATTTGTAGAAGAAACTTGCTCTTTCATTCAAATCCTCTTTCATCATTGATTTGATCGAAGGCAAAGCTCTTGAGCTCTTTTCCATTTCAGATGATTCAAATGGAGAATTACATGTGTTTGGTTGTCATCCTTTTCCTCTTGATTACCATTTATTTCTATGCGAAAATCCTCAAGAAATCCGTTCAATACAACAAAAAGGGATTCCACGAGAAAAATGTTCTCTTACAGGTTTGGGAAAAATTCAGAAATAAAAAAAAATTTAAAAAAAATTAAAACTGAAGCTCTACAAATTTACATGTTTTCAATAAGATTTGATGAATTTAAAAAAAAAAATTTTTTTCAGCGAATCCAAATTTTGTCCAGTTCCAGAATCCAGATCCAGAATTTTCATCAAAAACAAAGAAAAGATTTCAGATTAAGGGTTGATTTCCTCGTTGATGAAGGGGAAAAGGGCAAATCTAAGGTAATCTAAGGTACAAAGGGTCATTTTTTTTTCAGATTCTCTTTATCTGCTCATCTCTTTTATTTTATAAAATCTCAATTGCCATTTTTGAGTCAACTCTTCCCGTGAATCAAGAGCCAGAAAAAGTGAGAAAAAAAAGGAATCTTTTCGAAAGGCTCCCAAAAAAAAAAAAAAAAACTTATCGAGCAGCATTATTTCCTCTTTAGAATCTAATCTTTATCGAAAATGTGCTTGAAATTTTGATTTGTAACATTCATCCAATTTCTTATCTGCTATTCAATCGAAAAGTGAGTCATTTAAAAAAAGAATATTTAAATTTTGACATTGATTTCCCAAAGAATCCATGAATTTTTATTGTTTTTTTACAATTTTTCAACACTAGTTGCGGTTCTTTCGAAAGGCTGTAAAAAGGGGAAAATCCCTTTTCACCCCTTTCCCTCGGCCACTAGCCGAGCGGTCTTGTGGTGTAGTGGTTATCACGTCTGCTTTACACGCAGAAGGTCGGCGGTTCGATCCCGTCCAAGATCAACTTCGTTTTGTTTTTCTCTTAACTTTTTCGTATTTTAGGTACGAAATCATTTGAAAAGGTTAGCTTGCTTGAAAAATCGAGGCGGTGGCAAATTTCAGGTTCGAGAATAAAAGGAAGCCAAATGCAAAAATAATTTCAGCGTAACTCCCGTTACATCTCTCCCGTGCCAACCTCTAATTATGTCTCCTATGAGCAACTGTGTCAGGTACAAAGTCTTTGCACCCGGATATTAACTTAAATATTCAGCCAGCCAGTCCATTGCAACCCCCAACCGCATCGAGAGTTCTCCGAAATCGTCAACAAGCAAAGCTCATCTCAACAAGATCCGTCTGATCAAATTAAATTTGCAAACACGGGTAGCTAAATTTATATAAAGTATTCAAACAAAAAAATGTTCTCAAACAAGCAAATAACAACCGGGTTTTTTGAAAGACTCGTACACTAAGTAAAAAGGATCACTCGCGAGAAATTTAACAGGAAATCATAATATAAAGATAAAGCTAATGCAGAGACACCTGAGGAAGACAATAACAATAACAATAATAATAAGTAATCACTTCCATCTCAATTCCTTTCACCGAAATTTGTTTCTTGAACAATTCGACTTTTCCCATCTTCATTTTTCGAGACATGATAGATGATTTCTGGTCGAACGTCGCGCTTTAACGTGGCAACAAATCTTAAAATATTTGAATAGGCGCCAGAAAAATAATTCAAAAAGCAAACCTTTCATCGTGAGTGATAATGATCATCTGAAAATGCCGCCGTTTTGGCTTTTTGTCTTCCTCATCATCATCACCACCGTCAACGCTTCTCGCATTGATCAAATCAATTATCATCGCAGCCATGTCGTCGATCTAAACAAAACCCCGTGCGTCACTTTTTAATTAAGATGTTTGTTGGTTTTTCAACATAATCATAGAATCATAGAAATGAATACCTTTTGAACATCCAAATTCGTCGTCGGTTCATCGAGAGCCAATATCGAGCATTGCGAACCAAACACATCGGAAAGAGCAATCCGAATTAAAATTGAGGCAAGCATCTACATATACAATTAAATGTCTTTATAAATAAAAAACAAATAACCTTTTGTCCAGCCGAACATCGATCTCTCATCTCCACTTCGACTCCATTTTCGAGTACCATCATCACTTGATAATCATATTTTGTGCGTGCACCCGATCCCTCTGACAATTCAGACCCAAAAATGATGATCACTAAATAAAGCAAGAATACAACGAACTTGATTCGAATCGTATCAATATCCGTTCCACGGTACACTCTCCTCCAAAGGTTTTCTAATATTTCGTTAATGGCCTCCATTTTCGAGCGATGAAAAACCAACAAGGTTTGCTCGACTTTTGTGGCGTAATTTTTCAAATCCTGAACAAATTTACAAATAAAATTAAAATAATTTCCACCTCTTGTGCACATTCTGCCACAACTTTTTCGACGAGTTTTTTTCGGAGTTTATCATCACTCTTCGAAAAACGAGACTCATTCAATTCGGCTTTCAGACTTTCGAGCTAAATCTGAATTAAACTCAAAGCGATTTTTAAAGTACGTTCTTCTCAATTTCCTTTCGCAGACCATCCTTCTCACCAATTCTCCTAACACACAAATCGTGTGTAATCTGGGCTTCTCGTGCTGCTGTTTTTATAGCCTAAAATCAAATAATTTTCACAAGTTGCAATTATTTTTACTTGGATGTCTTCACCCGTCCATTCCTTCGCCAAAGTTGCATTGCACTTTTCCACGTTCTTCATAATTACCATCCTCGAACGTTGATCCTCAAGTCGACGCCGTTTTTCTTTCTAAAAAGCTAGGTGATTTATTTATTTTACTTGTATTTGATTTTTTTGGACATACCAAATGATCAGGAGCATTGACTTGTCCCTTCAAGTCACCCAATTTTTGAGACGCTTGAGTCATTTTCTCGTTCAACTCATCGTATTCGCTTTGTACACCACCTTGTTTTTCAAGTTTTTTCTCTAAAATTCAATAATCTATCAATCAGTAAAACACTAGTAATACCACAACACTCAAGGCTCTTGTTTAATTTCTCGAGATCGACTTTATATTGGCCAAGTTCTGAAATGTGAATTAAAAAAATCGGTGATACATTGTTCTACCCCGAGTTTGTTCTTCTTTCTTCATTTCCTCGACTTTTGTGTTTTTATCGTGGACTTTAATAGCTTTGACGGCGTCCTAAAATGAAAGATTTATTGGTAATTATGAAGTGTTCAATACTAAGTTTTTTCCTAGGTTAAGCAGAAATTTTTAGAAAAGGATTCTAAATGGTATATAAAGCTGAAATGCGTTATTACTTTCTCTTTCTTCTAGTTTATTCCCTTCGAGAATCATATAAAAAAGTTATTTCCCCATTTGAATCCAGCAAGCCATTCACGAAAGAGCGCTAACAAAAAAACAGGACATCTCACAGAGAAAAACCATAGCTAAGACGTTTCCACAAATCGAATCTCAATCAGTCCGTTTTTTACAGCACTTTTTGCCGTGCGCGGTATGAGCGAGGGCGGGCAAGCGCCCGCTTAAAAAGAGCGGTAAGACTTTAGGCATATCATTCAAGGCATTGCCGATCTTTTTCCAGCATAAAGGAAAATTTTTAGATGAGTGCTCAAGTGGCAGCCATAGCAGCCATTGGCTTTTCTTCTTTGGCATTACTTATTGTATCTCTATTTGTGCCAGCTCTTTATGTCAAGATCAATGCGATCACAAAAGCAGTAGACGCGGTAGGTTATTTGAAAAAATGAGTCTATGTCACTTAAGGATATGGTCGAGTTTAACAGTCTACAAAATGGCGTTTGGAGCAGAATGCGTGGTTCTCATATTGCTGGAACTTTTGTTCCATTTGTGAAGAGAAGAGAGACGAGACAAGCACAAGAGGGGGGATGTGCTTGTAATCATCAGAGCGCTTGCCCACCAGGATCAGTCGGAACTCCAGGTAGCCCAAAACAACAAAGCTACTCACGCTTGCTGATTTAGGAGAGCCCGGTCAGGATGGCACTGACGGCCATCCAGGGCTTCCGGGAGACAACGGAATGCCCGGAAATCAACCATCAGTCTACATTGACAATAACGAGAAATGCAGAGTCTGCCCGAACGGACCACCAGGCTTCCCAGGACTTCCAGGTAGTCAAGTGAACTTGAAAGAGATAACATTTAATTACAGGTGATCCGGGTCCAGCTGGACCACCCGGAATTCAAGGACCGCCCGGACTGCCCGGCCACGAAGGATTTCCGGGAGCGCCTGGTAATATGGGAATGCCTGGAGAACACGGAAGTCCAGGAAAAGACGGGGAAAAGGGAGAAAAGGGCAAGGACGGAACTGGGGGAGGTCGCGGACTTCCAGGTGCGCCCGGAGATATCGGACCGCTTGGGCCTACTGGATTTCCCGGAGAACCAGGTAAAACTAAAGACCTGAGTATGGAGAATTGAGGTCATATTTAGGATCGGACGGTCATCCTGGTAAACCCGGAGATAGAGGAAGTCCTGGAAAACTGGGCGAGCCTGGTGATGCCGGCAAACCGGGACAAGATGGTGGAAATGGACCGCCTGGTACACCCGGAGATGATGCCCAATATTGCAAATGCCCCCGCAGATCGGAAAGATCAAAACACGCTCAACGAGTCATCCGCATATAAAAAGTGGTCAATAAGGGGAATATGCAAGCAGATACCGGCAATAAATTTTTTGTTTATACTTATAAAGCAGTGCACAAACCGATTCTTCCTCACAAAGTTCGGGCAGCAGTGTCTCTAAACTGGAAATTGAAGAAGACAGCTCAGCAACCTAAAAGTTGATCAAAACAATTGTTTTTTTCAAAAAGAACCTCTTCTTCTTTCTCCTTTAGTTGATTCTCAAAATGGGCAAGATTGGCAGCATTGTCTCCCAATACAAGTCTTTGTGATTGTAGTTGCGTAAGCTGAAAAAAGATTATAATTATAAAACAAATCGTAATCGACCTCCTCAGAAAGCTTATTTCTTTTATTAGCTTCCAATTGAAGCTTGTCGCCTTCACCCAACAATGACGAGATCTTTTCCTAGAAATTAGAAACTTCAACAAAGAAAAATGCTGCCTAAATACCTCTAACTCTTGTCTTTCTTGTTTCAATTCCAAGTAACCACGACCAGCCTTTAACCTTTGACTAAGCGAATGTTCAGTCTGAATAGAACATTAGCGCCGTATCGGTATTTGGCTACCTCGCTAATGTCATTCTTGGCTTTTTGTATCTGAAGGTCCAGAGAATCCATTATTGCAGCATCGACCTATAAAACAGTTATCGCAACACTTGAAACAACAAAAAACCAAAATCCGATTACAGGCTTCGCTGCTCTTCTGAACAAGAGTCAGTTCATTCTTGATTTTCTAAACATTCAATCATTTAATACTCGTTGTCTATTTTCTTTAACCTTTAATCTCTTCTCCGTTTCCGTCACCTTGGATTCACTCTCTTTCCTTTCCACTTGCAGCTTCCGCAATTTTTCCGTTAGCAAGCTAAAGCAAATTTTATGCAGGATAACAATATACAAACTTTAGCTTTTGAAAGTTTTCCTCGGCTTTTGCAAAACTTTTCTCCTGATCGTCCAAAGCGGTGACTGCCTCAGAAAGGCGTTCTATTTCCCTGGGAGTCGATACACGGAGATTAGTTAACTAAAGGAACATACTACTTGACTGAAAATTAATTCACCTTTTCCACAAGCTCATTTTTAGCCATCTTTGAGGCGAATCGGCGGTCACATAGAGGACAGCAATTTTTGGCTTCCGTTTCTTCGATCCAAGTTTCATAGAGCTCGAACTTTGACTCCAAAGGATTGAGTTCTTTTTGGTTCTAAATTGAAGTTATAAACTTGTAGAATGTCTTACGTTAAATCATGCAGGAAAAAGGTGCCACAAAAACAACAACGATGGTGACACCAAGACTTACATTTCTCAATTGTGTCCTGAGCTCGGCTAATCTCAATGATACTTTTTCAGGTGGCGTAAGATCGGTTAGCTAAATATCAGTATAATGCAACTTAGCAGAAAAATCAACCTCTCCTATCTCTTTCTCTAGTTCCTTGATTTGATTTTCAAGCTGTATTTGTTCTTGAGTGTATCGTTGTTCAGCACTTTTCGCCAATTCTAGTGCCACTTCAATCGAATTGTGTTCCTTATTAGCGAAATCCAATTCTTTTCGAACGCTCACTACTTTGTCCTTGATTGAAGCGCTAAATGAAAATTTTCTCAAAAAATTTTCAAAATGCACCTAATCGGGAAAGACTGATCCTCCGTATCAAAAACCAGTGTTAAATCAGCCGTATTCTTTGCAGTGAGTTCGTCAAGCTTTTTGGCTGCTTCCCTCATTTCTTGTTTTAATCGGACCAACGATCGCTCAGCTTCTTCAAAAACTTCCGCGGCTGCACATTGATCTTTCAGTCTAGTCAACTGAAAAAAAAAATTGAATGACTAAGACAAAAATGCAACCTCATCTTGGGCTTTATCACGTTTTTGCTTTATTTTGTCAAGAGCTGAAAGGTCTACTTCTCCCAAATCGCTTCGCTCTTTCTCAATAGCAACAATTCTTTTTTGCAGGCTTTGCAATCTAAAGGAAAAATAGCTGGATTTGATATGGAGAACATACTCGTTCTGTCCTGAGGAGACTGCGTTGATTTTTGTGTTCAGTATACCAATGTCTGTTTCAAGCTTTTTCTCTTGATCTTTTTTGCTCTGAAATAGGAAAATTAAAAAAATGCAATTAGATCAGCAATTTAACCCGAATTTCGTGTTTCGCTTTTTGTCGTTTTTCCATCAAATCGTTTTTGCGCGTCTCCAAATTCTGTCTTTCTTTCTGTTGGTGAGCCTAAAACTTTCGGTTGACAATAATTAAGAAAATTCACTCGATATTGTTCCAGACGTGCTCCTTCTTCTTCTATGAACGCTTCCATCGCAGAAATTATGTCTGTAGCTTGAAATTCTAAAAGAGCGAGAAACTAGACCGAACTTTTCTAAACGAACCGTATTCCTTCCGAATCATTTTTTGTAAATTAGCTATTTGGTCAACATAGTCTTCTTTCATCTAAACGTACTTGTTCTTAAGCTATGCAATAAACAAAACCTTAGTGTTCGTATGAACATCAAGACGTTCGGCCTCCAAACTTCGCTTTTGTTTTTCTAACATTGAAATCGAAGCTTCTAACTAAATACCAAAAAATATATCTAAAATTTATTTCCGAACCTCCGCCATCTGTTTCTCAACTGCGATACGACGCGATTCGATATTTTTGAACTCAAAAGAGTCGGTGATCTAAAGGCCAGTCTATTGAATACTAAATAAAACAGGATACTTGTTGAATAGCTTCAAGTAACTCTTCTTCGCTACCAGAATAATCGGGAACATCGAAATGTTTTAACTGTTCAAGTTGCATCTCTAACTTAGATGTCGCCAGCGCTGAAAAAAGTAGACGTAGTACGTGAGATCGTCAAATCTCACTTCTCTCATTGCTGAACCCTTGGTACACTTCCACCTTCCCAGAGGCTTCTTTCAAAATGTGCATTACTTCCTGAAAAATCAAGCTAGTCGACAGAAGAGTAAATCCCACAAACTTGTTTCTTCTCATTATATTTAGCCAGGTCTTGCTTAAGTTTGAGCAATCTATCTTGAAGTTCCTCACGATTTGCTTCTTTCTAAATGCTAAAAATTGTAATAACAAACAAAAAAGTTACTTTTAATCTATCATCATAGTTGCTTTGCATATGGTTTAGTTCGGCGTGTATCACGTTCAAGCTCTGAGTTTGGTCTTTAGCCATTTTGCGCAACTTTTCGAGAATCTTCACATATTTTGAGAGCTCGAAAATGGCGTCAAACTTCTCTTTTACTTGCTTTGGTTCCCCCAAAGGCCTAAAACTCTATTAAATAACATTAATAAGAAAAGAATTCACCAAGTTGAGTTCTCTTGATGACAAAAAATGACATTCGTTAGTATGGCACGCGGTACATCCAATAGGTTGATCATCTACATGCCATAAAATACAGAACTCAGGACAATTGACTACCTCCGTTTTTGTGTCTGCGACTTTTGATGACAAGGATATCTTCTGTCCATGTTGATCCACAATGACGAGAGTGCTCTCATCTTGTTTTCCAGTGATTTTGTTAGTCTAAAAGGAATACCTAGGTATATAAAAATTTACGAAATAACTCTTGGAGCTCGTGATAAATTCAATCGCTTTGTCGCTGTAACTTGTTTTCCATTAGCGGCAAAAAATTTCAGCTTCACCAAAGCATCTACTCTCGCTCGTCCACAAACCTATTTTTATCGTTTTTAGTAATTTGACACAAATTTTCACCTCGAGATTGTGAATAAAAGCCGGATATTGACCAGATGGCTTTGTATCAGTTGTTATAAAATTCAGCGCTTCAATAAGGGTCTAAAAGAGTGAGACTAAAAGAGCTGCTCAAAAATTTACCGTTTTGCCAGATCCATTTGGACCAGCAATAATCGTTAACGGATTTTGAAATTTTATAACATGAGCATCACTTCCATCTGGTCCTATTGAACGTATTCCCTACAACCGCGAATTTTTCGAACAAAACTTTAAAGCCACCTGCACAAGTAAAGAATCCAATTGAGCCATCGAGCGATGTGACTCATCAATCTACCCCTACATCAAGGACATAAGCAGTAGCAATCTCCACATACTTTTTTCCTTCGGAAGTATCATAAATAAATTGTGATATTATGCTTATTAGCATAGACAATTATAATGATTTATTAACAATACAATTTAAAGAACAACAACAAAAAGAACCAATAATCAACGGTAAGACTTTTGGTAACGGGCGCGAGCTCCAGACCCACCAAATTTCTTAGTTTCTCTGCGGCGGGGATCAGAAACAAGCAAAAATTTGTCATACGCAGCGAAAAGATCTTTGAGTTCTTTTTTGCTTTGCTCGTCCACAAATTTCTGGTAGTATGCGACGAGTCCCTTGGCGATGGCTTGTCGAATTGCGTAGATTTGGGCAACATTTCCTCCGCCATTCACTCGAACTCGAATGTCGACGTCTTGGAAGCGATCCTTGCCGACGACAAGTAGGGGTTCCTAAACAACAAATTTATTCGATTGAATTAGCCAACTTAAACTCCAACGAGAAGTATTATCACGTCAATCGCTCACATTCATGGTTAAAAGCGATTTAAGTACCTTTAGTTCTACATAGTTACCTAAAACGTCAAAAGCTTACCATCAATTTCATACGGAGAACTTGTGGTTGCACGCAATCGATTGGGCGTCCATTGATCTTCAAGACTCCTCGCCCTTTCTTGCAGTGAGCAACCGCCGTCGCCGTCCTTTTTCTTCCATAGGTTTGCACAGCCTGTGGGGTCCCAGTCATCGTTTCCTAGAAAGTTACTTAATAAAAATCAGCAATTTAAAAGCAAAAAAACGAGGTATTTGATGCAAAGATAATTCTTGCTCACAACCAGTAACAGGCCAATCTACTCCCCAATAAAAATTTTATTTAAAACAAGTAGCAAAATGACAACTAAAACTCAACAAAAAAATCAACAACATGAGATCATGGAAGCTTGGAATCTTCTATTTCTTGCCCTTGGCTCTGTATTCTGCAACGACGACGGCGTGATCACGTTCGTAAGGCTCCAATGTCACTTGTTCGCGAGGCTTGAATTTTTCTTCCTTTAGCTTGTTCACTTCTCCAGCGAAGACGGCTTCTGGTTGAGCAGTACTGTCGATGCAATTGGCTTTGATGGAGATAACAGCATGCCCGCCATTTTTCAAGAAGCTAAACACAAACTATTAATTTTATGATGCGTACAAAATACTTGTGAGCATTCAAGGCGACAATTCTGGCTTGATCAGGTTGAGCAACATCGGCAAAAATCGTGTCCACCATTCCTTAAAATTAAAACAATTATAGAAAAAGTAAAAGAAGCTTAAATTTTAATAACACCAACCAACAAGCATGCGATATTTGTGCGGGTGTCTGGCGTCTTCGACAATTGGCACGATGTTTGGTCGTTTTTTGGCGACATTGAGAAGGTCACGGCCCGAACGATGAGAAAATTCAACCGCATACACAATACCATCCTAAAGATACATTTTGCAAAATTGAATGATCAATGATCATTCAAACCTGGCCAACCATATCCGAGCAATGAGAAACGGTAGTACCAGAAGCAGCGCCAAGGTAGAGCAGCTTTGTTCCAGGCTTGATGTGCGTGTTCTCCAAGCCTCCCATCATAGCAGCGGCCAATTTGGATCGGAAAGGATTCCAGACTCGATATTCAACGCTGGTTCCTTCGTTTTCAACCGACACTCTCTTCTCTCCATAAACCGATTCGCCTGTCACCATGTTGATGGTAGCGAGGGCGTCTTCTTTTCCCTTGACGACAAAGACACCTAAATTAATCAAATTCGCACGGACTAAATACATCAACGAAAGCTATTAAATATTTTAGTTTTATAAAATACCTTCATAACGATGAGGCTCAACGATGACTCGTTTTCCGCCCCTCATTCCTCCAGCGCCTCCACGTCCTCCTCTGGGTGATCCACGACCGCGTGGGCCTCCTCGGAATCCACCGCGACTAAAATGAAATCATACGACCCAGAAACAAATCCAACCTGCCATCACCACCACGAGGCGAGAAACCTCCACGAGAGCCTCCGCGCGGTGAAAAACCACCTCGAGATCCGCCGAATTCACCTCTTCCACCCCCAAATCCTCCACGGGGAGAGCCTCCTCGGAATCCTCCGCCACGCCCTCCTTGCACACCTCCTCTTGGCGATCCACGGAAATCTTTAAGTACAAGATTAGACAATAATTTGTGACTAGCTATTTACTTCCTCCACCGCGTGAGCCTCCTTGAAACTCTGGTCGTCCCATGTTTGTCTAAAACGGACAGCATTATAGGTTTTTAAGAGTATAAGGTAAAAGGAAAGAACGAAAAGCTAAATATTTATATTTTCTTTTGCGTCCATTCTTTGCGCTAGTAACGACAAAAATGTATAAAACTTCGGGTTAACCAAAAAAATCAAAACGAGTGAGGAACTTTAGAAAAATGAGAAAGAAACCACTACTAGCTACACAATGAGACTCTGCACATCCATGATCGACAATTTCTCGTCAATCGACAATTAAATTGCATGTTAAGTCTCACAAAGTAGCAACTATATAGAGCAAGTTATTTTATTTAATTTATATGATCTCTGTTCCTGTTTTAGTGTGCTTCCTTTTGATCTTTTCATCCTTTTTGCGTGCCAGTAATGAATCAAAGTTAAAGAATTTCACCGACAACAAAATCAATCATTTATTAAACCGGAATGAGTAATTTTTTTTGGTTAATTTGAGGGAGAAGGCTTCATTTGAAGATCAAGTGGAGGATTTGACCAATTGTAATAGAAAGGATTCCTAAATGAATTGATACAATTCGTAGTACAACTAAACTTTACCATTAAATCCTGATGAATTCTGAGGTAACGTCTTTTCCGTTGTCTTTGTTTTGAGGAGCCGTTGGTGGCTCGTCTTTCTTGTCTTTTTCTTTCTCAGGATCGGCTAACATTTGTGACATTGGAGGTGCTGCAACGATCGGCTTGAGGATCACGGCATGATAGGCTGTCTAAAATAAAATCACATAGGTAGTAGGTAATAGAAAATGATGACGTACCTTAAGTGCCATTTCTTGTTTTACTGGTGCTGGGGTCAAGTCAAGCACAAATCCAGTTCCGGCTTCAGTTGGCTGTGCAAAATCTTCCGGCTTGGATCCTTGTGGCAACGAGGCCATATTCTTTCCACCTTCCACTTCAAGAGCGTTCATCTTTTTTGGCACTAACAATAAAATTAAGACATTTTCCGCTCAAAACTAACTTACCATTTCCAGAAGTATGAGGCTTTTGTTCTTGGCTGGTTGAAGCTGTAGCAGTGCGCAACGGTGTCGTCGATCGATCCTTTTGTTGAAGGTGCGTAGTCGATGGCCTCTTTTCAGCCTTGTTCTCAATCTTCTTCTCACTAGGTGTCATATCAAAGACGAATCCGGTGCCAGCCTCGGTTGGTTGAGCAAAATCAGTGGGCTTGGTTCCTTCTGGAAGTGTGGCGAAGTTCTTTCCACCCTCAACTTCCAAAGCCTTGACTCGATGTGGCTCTAAACAACAATATTTCAACAGTTTTCATAGCAAGAACATACCAGATGGATTTATGCGGAGCTCTTTTGGAGGTGGTGCCGGCGATTTCAATCTAGCAAAGGAGATTTTGAAAAAATAGGGATAAAAACTTACGGAGACTTATTTGGTGGTCCAAGATCGAGTACAAAATCTGTTCCCGCTCCTTCCGGTCGCTTGAAATCGGAGGGTTTCATGCCGGGAGGAAGTGAAGCGTAGTCTTTCTGTTCGATCTAAAGAAGTTGGTTATTCGAAAGAGTAACAAGACAATACCTTGGCTGGCTTTTGATCAATTTCCGGTTTCTTTTCCACCGATTTCCTTTTGCGCGCCGCCGGCAGCGGTGATTGCTTTGGTGGTTTTGGTGGCTAAAAGGAAAATATTCTTGTTGCTTATATCTCAAATCACACTTTATAAAAACAAACCTGGCTCTTGTGATTCGTTTTCTTTCCACTGCGATTCTTCTTTCCTTCAGCCGAGCTTGCGCGCAAGCGTTTCTTTACTTCTTTGCCCGATGTTTTTTGAACTTTTGACGGTGGCGTTGTCGGCTGGGAAAATACCGGAGCTATTGCGGTCAATCCTAAACGTGAAAAGTTCTCAGTCAAAAAAAGAAAAAGTTACCGAACGTCGTCGATGGCTTGTTTTGCTCTAAAAAAACTAATATCATCTAAAAAAAGAATAATCCCACTTTTTGCTTTGGGAGGTGGTGTTGTTCCTCCACCAGCAGCAGCACGCTCATTTCTCTAAACTTATTCAATTATCTAAGAATTAAAAATGCTAAGACCTCTGGCGTTTTCCTTTTCCTAGTGATATTGAAGTTTTCCTAAACAAAAGTTTACAAAAGTCAAAGCAAAAGTGGTAGGGCAAAGTATTGCGGTTGATTAAGCAAAAACCCAAGGTGTTTTGATAAAAAATGCAACCTAGTTAATAAAAACTCACTTTCTCCATGAAATTGACCGCTTTGTCGAGATGAGAAAATGATTTTTCTTCCCGTTCTTTGCGTTTTATTTAACCTTTAAATGTTAATGCTGGGTTCACATTCAAATCTACAGGGATCTCATCATTTTTAATTCGCGACTTCAGTTGTATTTGGTTCTTCTCTTCCATTAATGCAGCCGGATCTTTCATCACACTTGCATACGCTTGAATGCAATGTTTTAATTCAGGTATGGTTTGAGTTGTTCAAAGCGTTAAAAAATGTAACTTTAGCTATTGCAACGATGTCAAGAAGAACACATTGTTGGAAGATTATTCGGCAAATGCAGTGATTGGGACGAAGCTGTATGGCAATGCACAAAGAAGGAACGCATTTGGAGAAGGTAACGAATTTTCTTAATAGAATTTTCGAAGATTCTATCGTAAATTCATTTATTTTGGACTTTATAGCAATTTGCATCACTTTAGAGATAATAATCCGAGGTACAAGAAACGAATTGTGGAACTCCAAAGATTACCGGTATCGCACTGGACTCCAGCAGTTAAAAGGTTTTGTTTTTCTATTAAAAATTCGACACCAATCATTTAGGCTTCACGAAGAAGGCTTGCTTCCAAAAATCGACTCCAGCCAATTATGAAGCCTTTTAGTATTTTTTAAATGAAAATTAGTTTTTTATTGGTCGTGAATAAACTTTACAATGAAAAGTTTGCTTTGAGAATCTGTTAAACGGGCAGATGTATCGTTGTTTTGCGGAAAACTTTTTTTTGTGTGGATGATTGCATTTTCACACCGACTACATTTTTGTTCGCTAATCCCCGCAAATCCGGATTGAACAGAGGATTTGAACAAATTGATCTTTGAAAATTGGACACTTTATCGTTTTTCCGATTCGTTATTAAATGCAAATTTCTCAAATATTTTCGATCACATTTACACCTCAATTTTGTTTCAGATGGATCGACCCAAAAAGAACAACAATGGAGTCGTGCCGATGCGACTTTTGGCTAACTGGGACATTGATCGAACGGGAAATGATGTTGTTCAAAGGTTTCTTATTTTTTAAAGTCTGAAACTTTCTCGTTTAGGATTTGTAATCTGTCAGTGAATCGTCTTCAGCTCAACACATTTGGCACACAAATCCATAATTTGGTTATTACTGCTAAGCTGCAGGTATTTTAAAACAGATTGTTCTAACAATGTATATTTAGGGACATAAGCGTACGTTGAGAAGCAATGAAATCCCAATAACTCCACAAAATGGCGGTTTGGATGTGGATCTTGATATCACTTTCAATATACAGGTGATTCGTAGGCTAACTATAGCAGTGATGCAAGCATTACTGCAAAATATTTTTTATTTACGCCTTTGACAGTTTTTCTATCCTTTGAGCCTTTTTGACAGAAATCATTCATGCGACTAACACTTTTGACGCGGTCGTGGATATAATTATATCTTACAGGGCTGAAAAAAATGACATTTTTGCGCTTTTTTTATGAATTATCAAATATTTATTTTAGTATCCACATTTTCTGAAGAGAAAAATCAACGTTCTTCAATTGCTCATACAACGACGACGCAAATACAAGAATCGACCAATACCCGGAGGTTTCAAAACATTAGCTATAGGTTAGCTGTACTTTTTATCGCAATCTTTATATTATTAGGACTTGTTAATTTAACACAATTGCTTCAACAAGGGACGCTTCGAGAAATTTTGCTTTGGAATACTGATGATTTGCAAAAGGAAAACTCTCCTAACGGTGAGAAATTTAGTAGCTTACTTGTGAATCTGTTTAAAGTAAGATTTTGAATGTATTGTTATTATTAAAAAGTTTTAGTACAAAGCATTGGACGCATTAATTTTGGTATATGTCAAACCCAACCACTTGACTTCGAGGTGACAACGAACAAGGAAAAAGGCTTGGGTAAGGCTTTCTTTTTTGGAGAAAAGAAAATTTTATTTTAAGAATTTTAAGACTTTATACATCAATTAATTTTAGGAGAACTCAGCGAGGACACGGAATCGGAATCGGAAGAGGAAGGCGAAGGGGCAGTTGATAGCGATCATCAAGAAACACCATCCGGTTTAAATAGAAACAATAACAGGTTGAACTTTTCTAGATTCAGTTCTTCTAATAAACCGACTTTAGAATGCGAGAAAATCATATGAGGAATAAGCTTGTTCATCGCAAAAACTTGAAGCAGAAAATTGTGTCACTTTTAAGGAAGTTTAAGGTGCCCGAAGAGGAAGAGGTAAACATTACAGCATATGCATATTTTTTATTGAACTTTCTAGACAGCTTATCCACCATCTGCTTCGGCATCAGTGGCTCGTGCACCAACGGCAAAAGAACTAGAAGCATTATTCGAAGAATTGGATGATCTGAGCGATTCAGGGCCAGAAGGTAATTTTTTGCGTTTGCATCAAAAAATGTGACAACGAACCAACGATCTTTCATTTAGGAATGGCAGCCGACGAAGTTAGCATTGGCTCAAATCCACGACCAGGCTTGCAACCATACTTTAGTAGGGAAAAACTGCCAGGACTTCCAGCAATATTGGACGATCGGGTATTCGATTAAAAAGCTTCAAATTAGTTAATCTTGTAAAACACTGTTATTTTAGGTTTCTGAAAGCGAGGGCGAGCCAGAAGAAGTTGATTGGTCATCGGATGCTGAGTTTCGACGAGATCGTGTTGTTAAAGACGAAGACATCGAAAAAATTGCCTACAGTGAAGGTATCTAAAGTAATTTTTGATTTTTTAATGCAAATTTTTCAGCTTTGCCAGGACCAGGTCTATATCATCATGTTCGTAAAAGCTCTCTTACAGACACCACTAACAAAAGTAAATTGGTGCATTGCTTTTATTCAATTCACTCAAATTTAGTCACTGCCTTACCACGTGCTTCTATTCAACCAACATTAAGTGAGAAGCTTGGTTCATCAGCTTCTCGAAACACGATCACGCATTCTTTAACTGCCGGAAGTATTGCTACTTCAGGTATGGACCAACTTCATATGGTTTAAGAGTTATTTTAGGCCCTTCTACTCCTAGCGCCTCATTTTCTCGTGAAACACGTCGTGAAGGCGCACAACGAAATGCAAGCCTGGGAGAAAACGTAATATTTTAGTCTAATCAAAAACCAATTTTTTGCAGATTTTGTCTATGTCAGAAACGTCCATTCTTCTTTCAACCAATGACTGTATTTGGATTTATTCTCCCAGCGATCTTCCAAACGGTTTCTCGACTCCACTCAAGATGATTCCTTGTGCCACTCTTCAGTCCGTCAAAACAATTCTTGGACAAATTGTTCAAAAGCTTCACAATTTGTTGGTCCCTTCTATGTAAAACGACTGAAAATACGGTTTTAGTTGCAATTCAAATTCTTCGCGCCCTCCTCTTACATGGATCGGTGTTCTGGGAAATGATAAATTGATTGCTTATGTTTGTTATTTTTCTTGTTATCGCATTAAAATCGCGTTTAGGTACTACGTGCTTATGTTGAATTGGTTGCTCATCGATCATCTTCTCCATTCATGTCATCTATTCGCTTTGCTTTAATTCCACCACCAAACAGTCTTGTTGGACGATTGCTTTTGGGCAAGTTTGAATTGTGGTTTCTTTTTATAGCAAGTCATATTTTAGGATTGGACTCGCAACTCGACTGTTTGAGCCGAGATGTTTGGGAAAGATGCGGAGATATGAATCAAATTGATTTGAAAATTGTTTGTAATTTACCTAAATTTTTGGCATGTGTATGTTTCTAGCTATGGGAACGCGTAGAAGGTTGGCCTAAAAGTAATACATCAGGATGCGTCAACTTACCTATTGGCGAGGCTCTGCTACAGATGCCTGAGAAAGAAGGCCAGGTTTGCACTGTTTCTCTTGGTTTTTGTTTTGATACCAAATTTTTAGTCGGTTGACTCATCACGTTTATTTGTCCCATTTTTGGCAGAGGTTCGAGTTGGACAACAAGATAGCGAAATTGAAGGATCGGATTCGGCAGTAAACAGTCCAAGGGAAATTGAAAAAGAGGTTAGTGCCTCCTAGTAAATTCTCAAACTTTTATCTTTAGTCCGCCTCTCCTCAATCCATCTTCCTTTCTGGATCACCACCAGCAAGCCCTCAAAATCGTCATGAAACGCAAGAGATGCACGTAGAATATTGGCTTGGACAAAACTCTCAGGTTCATTATTTGCAAACTTATTGCAAACAAACATTACTTTATTAAGGAGTTCGGCTTGAGTTCTCTGGTTTCGAGTAGTACAACAGCGCAGCCATTGACTCCGATCACCAAAAAAGAAGGAAAAGGATCCTTGAAAACCAATTTCAGGTTCAACTAGTTTTCTTGGTGTCGTAAAATATTTTTTAGAACGTTGTTAATTACTCGAGCTTGCGCTCAACCGTTGCTTTCGTTGACTTTTGTTAAAGAAAAGCGAAAGGAAAAAATGCTTCACAAATTAGGAATGAAAAATCGTCAGGTTTGCCATATTTTTTTCCTAATAAATTCAACGATTTTCTTTCCAGAAAAGTGAAAATGAAAATCCGCCAGTTCAAGTGGGGAATCTGTCTCGACTTTTGTGTAGCGGAACGCAGAAAAACAGTCAGCTACTGGGTTAGTGTTCTAATCTTCTAATTTTTATGAATTTCTTTCAGTTTGCGTTGATGGACAAATGTTTCCTTCGGTTCGTTTCTTTCAAACATCATCTCAATGGCCTACTCACGTTCGAGCTCTTCCAGTTGCCCTTCTTTCTCCCATACCCAGTTTGTCTTGCTAATTATTGACGTTAATTTCTTTTCGATTGAACTTTTGACTTCATTTAAATCTGTGATGTAGATATTGCACAAAGTCTTGCTTCTGTAGTGTCATTTCCTTTGAGTTTCTTTGCCTTCTTGCTAGCATTCATAGACTTGTCGGTAGCTACAGATTTTGAATTCTTTTTGCTGTTTTTTGATTGTTTTTCTGCTCCTTTTTTTGAGCAATAGTAGTCCCCTTTTTGGTGCTTTGAACTTACATTCTGCTTAGACAGCTTTACCAAATCTGCATAATTGCGATTGCAAACCCCCAAATACGGTTTTCCCATTTCGGCATCTTGCTTAACATTTTAATTCTTTTGATATACACCACATAACTGATTCTTGCCAGTTTTCATTCTCGTTATTGATTATTTATAAATTTTTATTCAACGAGCCACGCATAAGAAGTAGAAAATGGTGCTCCGCATGAAAATTAACCTCATAGTGCCGCTTTAATGAAATTTCTTTTGGGTCTTCCAAAAGAAGCGATGTTTGCTGAGTTTTCGATGTGACGTGCCATCGTTGGGTGAGAGAAAAGCTTTCTCTTCAAATCTTCCGGTTTCTCCGCTTTCCTTTTTTTCCTTTTTTCCCACAGACGTCCGTGTCTGCTTTTACGCGAGGCCCAGATTTTTCCTCAGACACCGCCATTAATTGAACATTGCTTTTATTTTTGCTGGCAAATGATGTAAGTTTTACAAATATTAAAAACCATTATCCCCATTTCAACAAAAATTAATGTTTCAAAGTTCTCAAATCGAGGGGGATGAGTGTCTCTATTTGGTCTCTCAATTGTTTACCTTTGATCCCAGCGTGGACTCTTGTTATCCCACTTAGAAAAAGAAAAGAAAAGAAAAATATTTTCCATCAGCTTCTCTATTTATTTTGTTGACAGAGGAATTTTCTATGACTAAATTACAAAAAGATAACAAATAATTTTTGGTAGCTGTGACTTTTTTTTCACGCAAATAATTTATATAACTAAAATGTAAACTTTATTGTGAAAGTTCATATAAGTAAATGTAGTAAATGTAGTAAATGATAGGCACAAATTTGCGTTTTCGTTTCTTTGCGTGAGTTGGGTGCGGTTTCTGCGTTTTTGTGGGTTCCTGGGCTCGGCTACCCACCACAACACGCTTCCACAGCCCCAGACACCTCTTTATTCATGGGCCCACAGCCTTCTTCACGTATCACTTCAGAGCCCATAGCTGTTTACAAGCTGTTTACAATTCTAATTGTGTTAATTGCATAGGGTTTTCTTGAAATCATTAGTAGAAACTTTATCGGAGACAAGTAAACGAAGGGAAAGTTGATAGAAATCATTAGTAGAAACTTTATAATCGCGACTTTCCAGTAGCTTTCCCTGTTATCTAATTTGGTGTTCTATCAACTTTCCCTTCGTTTACTTGTCCCCGATAAAGTTGATTGAACACCAAATTAGATAACAGGGAAAGCTCTGTTATCTAATTTGGTTATCTGTTATCTAATTTGTTATCCCTGTTATCTAATTTGGTGTTCTATCAACTTTCCCTTCGTTTACTTGTCCCCGATAAAGTTGATTGAACACCAAATTAGATAACAGGGAAAGCTACTGGAAAGTCGCGACTCTTTTGTCAAAAATGAAAAGGAAACAAAATGAAATAAACGGTCGAAGAGTACGGTAGCTGGGGCGTGGTATAGAATCTTACCCGTGGAAATAACGAATTTAATTTAGGCATCAATACCTTTAATTTTTAGACGTCACTTCTTTTTGTTGATGGCTTTTGTTTTTGGAGTGCTGACAACGATCGTGCCAACATCGGTAAGTAAAAAAAGTAGATAAATTGAGGCAAAAAAGTAGTTGAATCCTTCAATTGTTAGAGAAAGATCACTAGAGAAATGCTTTTGCTCTTGCTTTTGATTAGAATTTGAAATTTTGATTAGAATTTTACAAATTTTGGATAAAACGAAATTTTCAGTGGCTCAGCTTCGCTTACTCGACAACAAAAAGATCATTTCTGATGTTGGCATTGCCGGATGAACAAGAAGAATATTGTTTCCAATCAGAAAGGTGAAACCAATATGTTAATAAAAGAATGAAAGATCTTTAGAACGACATTCGACAATTCAACGATTTCAGCTCGGTTTTGAAATTGAGTGAATAGGGTTTTGTTGTACAGATTGAGAATAAAGTCTAGTTTATTGTTGTTTTCTTTTCAATTAGCAATTAGAGTGTCTTCCTTCCGATCGTTTTCTAAAACGCATTTCAAAGGGAGGGTTACATGTGTGGCCTAGTGGCTGGCGTGCTTGTCTCTAAAGCGAACAACCTTATTAAAACCATATCGGGACCATATTGAAACCTTATTGGAACCATATTGGAACCATATCGGGACCATATTGGAACCTTATTGGAACGATATTGGAACGATATTGGAACCTTATTGGAACCTTATTAAAACCATACAGGAACCATATTGGAATCATATTGGAACCATATTGTACCATATTGGAACCAAAATACCGGAAGGAACCATACTGGAGCCTTATTGGAAACATATTGGAACCATATTGGAATGAGTTAAATTCCTTGCCCTTTTTCATGAATAATTTTGGTTCTTTGCTATATCGATTCAGAGGGTTTGATTCGGTTGATGAATTGAAAACTGCCGGACTTTGAACTAAAATTTTGAACTAAAATTTATTGAACATAAAACCATGAATTCATTCGACATAATTTCCATTATTATTGACGACTTCTGCCCATTTCACAGGCAATTTGCGGATTCCTCTTTCGTAGTAGGATTTTGGTTTGTGTGTGAGACAAGTGTGAGACTCAAAAATCGAGGCCTGGAGATGTCCCAGTTTGTCCAGTTTGAGCACTTTCTTCAAAAGAAACCCATTTTGGTGTCAATGGAAAAGTTGTAGAGAATCAAAAATTAGGCTTATAACCAAATTTCCAAAAAGATACACTCAGTAGTTTCGCTTAAAATGCAAGTTTTGTGAAAATTCGTAAATTTGGCATTTCTTCAAAACCAGTTTTTGAATCGTTCTGAAAATTTGGATAGAAGCTTGATTTTTGATTCTCTACAACTTTTCCATTGACACCAAAATGGGTTTCTTTTGAAGAAAGTGCTCAAACTGTCACATATGACAATAGCCCGTAGTTTTCCAATCACCAACCCAATGAGTACCCCACCCCTATAATGACGGTGCGGAGTGTTGCGTAGTCTAGCTTTAAACGAGTGTTTCTCGACACTGGTTTATGCTACAATGTGCGCTTAGTTATCAAAACATAAACCTGAATTTCAAACTGTCACATATGACAAAGAGCCGGCAGTTTTCAATTCACCAACCCAATAGTTAACAGTTACTAAAATGATTAGCTTTCAAAAGCATAGAAAGGAACACAGTGGCTTGGACTTGGCTTGGCTTGGCTCAACACAGTGGCAATGATCGATGTTCGTTCGGTATTTCAGTGCCGTTCTTTGTTTTCTTATAAACGCATACTTTCTGACACGAAACATTGCAAAATAATATTTCGAGTGTGCCAGAGAGGATGCGTTCGCTAAAGCACAAAGTGTAATTTCAACTGATAACTAATATTTAGCAATGTTTATTTAAAGAAAGTAAAAAATGAGACCATTGTGAAAAGTGATTGTCCGAGCTCAGATCATTTATTTTCTTCCAAATCGTGTGCTCGATGAAGAATAATCATATCCATAGATATTATTTGTCACCTCACTGTTATCTTGTTGGTATTTATCGCGTCCACCGACATAGTCCTGTAAGGAAAACAATACTTGTTTCCTTGAAAACAATACTTGTTGAATCTTTTGATAGTTGAGCTGATTTTGAGCGTCATTCGATAAAATTGGCGATTGAGTCGTCGGTTGGATGAAATTCGCGTTGCCTAATATGGTAAAGATTTTCAAAAATCGATTTCGTTACAGTTTCCCATTTTTCCCAAAAGTTTTCGTTCTCCCAAAAGCTAGAATATCAATGTGTAAGCCAAGTATTGTAATGATGGATTACGGTAAGATTATGCTACCGTAAATACTGTGATAGTAGCCCGCCCCCATAATGACGGTGCGGAGTGTTGCGTAGTCTAGCTTTGAACGCGTTTTTCTCGACACTGGTTTATGCTACAATGCACGTTTAGGTATCAAAAAATAGCTGAAATTCAGGGCTATTTTTTGATATCAAAAGACGAAGCATCACGTAGTCTAACTTTAAACGCATTTTTCTCGTCATCAGTTTATAATGGCGGCCGGAGCATCGCGTAGTCTAGCTTTGGACGCGTTTTTCTCGACACTGGTTTACGCTACAAGGCGCGCTTTGGTATCAAAAAATAGCCCTGAATTTCAGCTATTTTTTGATACCAAAGACGCATTTTTTGAAAGTACGGGTGCTTTGAAAAAAATGAAATACTAAAAAAATTTTGCGACTACGCGACTGTACGAGGGCGGTGGGGTACTATTACAGTATTTACGGTAAGCTTTTTTAAAGCTTATCAAATACAGAAGTCAAATACAAATATAATGTCAAATATCAAAGCAAATACAGTTTGAATAAGATCAAGCTTGCAAAGCATATTGTAAAGTGGGTTTTTTATCTTTTCTTCACAAACCCGATGGATCATACATTCGATTGTAGCTCGAGATGTAAAGATTCTCCAAGCCAGGTGTCAAATACTTGTAGTTGGGATTCTGAATTTCAATTCTGATATTCAATTCTGATATTCAATTCTGACTTTGAGATCAATGAAAATTGTCGAAATACCTGAATGAGACTCGCCGGATTGGCATTTTGGGGATTCGGATCGAATTGCGGATTGATGAAAGCGTTCGATTGACCGTTCGAGTAGAGCGGAGAACTGGGAATTGTGATAACCAAATAGAAAAACACCCAAAATAGGTAGGCTACAGTTTGAGAAGTGGTGAATCGACTATACTTTCAAAGTGTCTCCCTTGCCCACTCAGCTGAATATCTCCTAGTTTCATGGGGTATCATAGCTGCTTCATAGCTGCTCAGGGACAGCTACGGACAGCTAAAAGGGACAGCTACACAAAAATCTACGCAGAAAAAGGGGCATGGCTTCTTTGCTTTCATAGCTGCTCCAATTTTCACATCAAATTAAAAGATATTCAACTAGAGCTTAGGGGAACACTTTGAAAGTGTAATGTAATGAGGGAAATCTCCCAAAATCCACAAAATAATAGGCTATAGTTTGAGAAGTGGTGAATCGACACAAAAAAACATACAAGTGCGTTTAATTGAGTGAACTTTTTTGTTATGTAATTGAGTTTAAGACTTTCCCTGAGTATTTATCGAATTGAATACATTTTTGAATGTACAATTATATGCAGGTGAAAGGTACAACATGCAAAGCGCCAAAAAAAGATATATACATTCTCAAAGCTGGCTTTCAGATGTTCTCTAGTTTTCTAGTTTTCTAGTTTTCTAGTTTTCCAGTTTTCTAGTTTGCTAATTCGTTAGTTCTCTAGTTCTCTAGTTCGCTAGTTCTCCAGTTTTCTAGTTCGCTAGTTCTCTAGTTCGCTAGTTCTCTAGTTCTCTAGTTCGCTAGTTCGCTAGTTCGCTAGTTCTCTAGTTCTCTAGTTCTCTAGTTCGCTAGTTCTCCAGTTCTCTAGTTCGCTAGTTCTCTAGTTCTCTAGTTCTCTAGTTCTCTAGTTTGCTAGTTCGTTAGTTCTCTAGTTCTCTAGTTCTCTAGTTCTCTAGTTCGCTAGTTCTCTAGTTCTCTAGTTCTCTAGTTCGCTAGTTCTCTAGTTCTCTAGTTCTCTAGTTCGCTAGTTCTCTAGTTCTCTAGTTCTCTAGTTCGCTAGTTCGCTAGTTCTGCTAGTTCTCTAGTTCTCTAGTTCTCTAGTTCGCTAGTTCTCCAGTTTTCTAGTTTTCTAAAAATTGCACTCAATCCAAAACCACCGTAGCTCAGCCAATCGGAATACGATAGATTTCCTAGTGCTTTTTTTTAGAGAACTTTCTCGGAGAGAACAATTCTAATGACTGTGTAGTCATTAAACTTGCTTATCGGTCAGTGCAAAATAGAAAATAGATTACAATCGATTGTAAAACAAAGAAAATGCAGCTTATCTGATGCCTATTTGAAGCAAACTTGAGCAAACATCATAACAAGGCTAGCAATTTAAATGATAATTGATAAAAGATAGTTCAGAGAAGTATGGAAAAGATGAAAATGCTTTCATGCTTCGTGGACACTTACGAGACGGTGCTTTGTGCATTTGAAGTGGCCAAGTACGAGTTTTGTCTCCGTTTTCGTTGCGATCTTCTGTGGGGATTTGTTTTGATGCATAAGTTTTGTTTTGACTTAAAAAGCCGTCATTAACTTTAGCGAATTTACTGACAAATTTACTGTTTCATTTGACTTGTTAAAGTAGGAATTTTATCGACATGCAATAGTTAAACGAATGGTTGGTGGACAGCTATGTTAACTCTGCCACTTTTTCGATCCGTTTACCGTTGGCAATCTAAAAATTTTGCTTGTATCTTGATCGGTTTTGTTTGCAAAAAGCGTTGAGTTTACTTTCATTCGATAGAAAATTCGATTTTGAATCGAATGAAAGTAAATTCAACGTTTTTTCAAACAAAACCGATCAAGATACGAGCAAAATTCGTAGAATGCCAACGGTAAACGGATCGAAAAAGCGGTATAGTTGTCGATAATTGGATTTGAATTGGATTTGAATTGAATTTGAATTGAATTTGAATTGGATTTTTGTTTATAGTAGGTAAATGAACAGAATCTTTTGAGAATCTTATAATGTTTACAGTTATTTTTAGCATTTTAATTAGGTAAATAATAGTTTATTGAATGAATTAATGTTCTGTTCATGTTCTAATTTCAATTTCTAAACGACATACCGTATTTCCTCGAGAATAGAAGACCGGGTAAAGCGTATCATCGCGTACTCCTGCGTAGCAGCCCTTTTTAAAATTTCTTTTCTGCATAAAAGCTTTCAATGAAGTGCTATAGAGCTGGAAAATGGCTCAAAAATCTGTTAGCTCATGTGCTATTTTTGAGTCATTTTCCAACCCGATAGCACTTGATTGAAAGCTTTTATGCAGAAAAGAAATTTTAAAAAGGGCTGCTACGCAGGAGTACGCGATGATACTCTTCACCCGGTCTTCTATTCGAAGAAATACGGTAATTGATGGCAAATTCCCTTCAAATGTAAAGATATTCAATTTACTCGACGTGTAAAGAGGATTACTCGTAGTTACTCAAGCGAAAACATCGATTAATCGAGTAAAAATTACTCCTACAAATTTTACTCCAGTTTAATACTTACTCACGAGCAACACACTCTAAAAAGTAGCCTCTTTGAAAAAAAGTAGCCCAATCTTGCCTAACTCTATCCCCTCCTCGCGCAGATGGCCGAGTGATTAAAGTAGCCTCTCCACGGTTAAGTTTCTGTTTCTTGTGTTTCTTATTTTTATTGGATTACGGTATTAAGATTAGTTCAAGTTTTCTCAAGATCTAGCTACCAAATTTTTGCAAAATTTGCATCAGCTTTATAAACGAACTTGTACGGAGTGCCGAAGTTGCTTTGATAATTCGAATTCCAATTCGTTTGGTAACCATTTTGTTGATTGAACGACGATGGACTCGTGTATTGATTTGAGAGTGGATTGTAGAGAGCCTGAAAAGTTTTTTGAATTAAATGCTGACTATGTAACCAGCGCTCAGAAAAAATGATGAAAAATCGGCTTTTTTTCGCCACTTTTCAATCATTTTTTTCTAAGGGCTGGCTAATGCTAAAAAGATGTGTTATATCTCAAAAAATCACCCATCCTCTCTAATTTAATTTGATATCAAAGCGCGCATCGAAACAAACGTACTGGTGTCGAGATATGAGCGCTTTTTTTTGTGTAAACTTAGACTACGCGACGCTCCTATAGGGACGGCCTTCTATTAGAGTTTTTACGGTATGTTCAGCCCCAACTGTCGCAGGAAAAGCGGCGTTAGCCGAAAAGATTCCTGCTTACGAAGACAATGTGATTATCGATTGGCACGATAACAAGGATTATAAATTTGAGTGAGTCCTCAACCCGCAGGAGTTTTCAGCGGCGTTAGCAGCTGAAAACTGCTAGTAAAAGATACTTGCCGTATTCTCTCTAATAGTAGTGCACCCTGAACGTCGTCTAAATTGCTCGAAATCGCGAAAAGCGCTTATCAGAACCTATCGATGTGGGGTCGGAAAATGTAGCTGACGATGAGATCTTGTGGGGGATTAGAGTGTTGAGCTTCTGAGAAAACTTTGGAAGCCGTAAAATAGTCACAAACTCGGCTCGCCGGGGTGCACTACTATTAGAGAGAATACGGTAATCAACGATCCAGCATGAAACCATCATCCCTGATCTCTATTTTTGCCTTTGATGGAAAATTTGCAACTCAAAACCTCAATTAACATGTAAACTTATTTGTTTTGATTTTGGTTATCTTTTGAATCTTTGTTATCTTTGAAGTTATCTTTGAATTCACTTGCTATTCAATGATTGTATTCTTTTCATTCAAAAAATTTTTTGATCCAACCTGTCCATTATATCCATTACTGTATCCTTGATTGAATGGGCGATAGTTGTAATTCCAATTCTGATCTCTCAACAAATACGAGGATGGGGTTGAGCTCTGAACAGACAGAATTCAACGCAATCATCAGATATTACAGTCATTATTACAACTATTATTACAACTCTGATATTATCATTAACATTATCATTAACTATTATTGCATCATATATTATTGCAACTCTGATATTATCTACCTGAGCGTTGTATTGAGAATTGTATCCATTGTTGTAGGCCATTTGCTGAGAAGTGTACGGATATTGCTGATTATAGGAGTTACTGAAACACTTGGAAATGATTTATTCATCAAATCATAATTCTATTTTCCTATTACTTTTGATTCTTGACCTGTATTGCGAGTTAGTCATCTGTTGGTTATTGTTGTAGCCATTATTGTACTGATTTGGGAATTGCGTTGAACTAGAATACTGTTTTTTTAAACTTATTTTCCTCAAAAACGAACCCAAACGGTGAATAGGTGCTACTTTGGTATTGGATTTGACGGGAATTTCGATTTTGCACAGAATTCGGAAGGATTCCGGCCGCTCTTTCAGCGTTTAGTGTTGGATTCATCGTCGTTGAATAAACAAATGGTTGACCTAGAGAAAAAGCTTTGTTTACTATCAAAGAGTTCTTCTTATACAATGAAAATTGTATCCGATCTTTGAAATGTCTTTTAAATGCCAACCTGTGTATGGTTGTGACTTTGGTGGTGTTGCTGTGTTTCCTTGATAGCCATATTGAGCCACTTTTTTTGTGCTTGGTGTTGTCGTTTGAGCATTCGATAGAGAGATCACTAAAACTAAACTAGAACTAAAACTGAAACTATTTCAAAGTCTACTAGAGCAGCCAGGGATTTTCGGCCTTCCCTCAGGATCGCAGGCTTAGATCAGATCTAGATCCAGGCTTAGATCAGATCTAGATCCAGGCTTAGATCAGATCTAGATCCAGGCTTAGATCAGATCTAGATCCAGGCTTAGATCAGATCTAGATCCAGGCCTAAAGTAAGCCTGAACCTAGTTGTGAGCTGTGGCCTTGTTTAATTTTACTTCAAGACTTCAGCATCTTGAACAAGAGTTTCAAAATTTATCTAAAAGTTTAGCTCATTAAATTCAAGTTCTTAATAAGTGACTGAGCCGTTTCGGCGTCACTATACTCAAATTTTTGAAAACAATTTTTGCCTTTTATTATTTGTAATCTTTCCGTTCAACTACATTCTGTTCAACTATTTTTTATTTGTACTTAAACTACCGTAAATACTGCAATAGTACCCCACCCCCCTCGTACAGTCTCGTAGTCGCAAAAGTTTTTTAGTATTTCATTTTTTTCAAAGCACTCGTACTCAAAGCGTTCTTTGGTATCAAAAAATAGCCCTGAATTTCAGCTATTTTTTGATACCAAAGCGCGCATTGTAGCATAAACCAGTGTCGAGAAAAACTCGTTCAAAGCTAAACTACGCAACACTCCGCACCGTCGTTATGGGGCGGGGTACTATTACAGTATTTACGGTAGTAAACTAAACTGGTAAACTAGCGAAATTGGTAGCGATTTGAATTGAGCTTTCTGCCTTCAGCATTCAAGATTTCTTAGTCTAATCAAATCTTATTAGGCATTATTTGAAAGCCATTTCAATTCTTATCTTCCTGCCTAACTTCCATTGTCTAATTTCTACATTCAACAACTTACCAACGAGTGTAAAAAGTATCGAAAACCGTCTGAATTTTGTCATCTTGTAGAAAAGAAAATAAGACTTTTCAGCAGAAAAATTTGAACAGAAATCTTTTATAAATGGGTCTTTTATATATAATTTTTCGGGAGAAAAGAATCACACCCCAAAATACCTCCTCTTTTACTTCTTTTTTTACCCATTCGCACTCCGTTAAAACTCTCCGATTTCTTCGTTTTCTTCGTTTTCTTTATTTTTCTCGAATCTTTATCCTTATTCTTGTTTATTTTCGAGTCTTTTTCTCAAAAAAGTCTTTTTCTCTTCAATTACCCGAGTCATTTTCCCTTTTTCTTTCTCATTTTTCTTTTTTTTCTCAATATTTTCAGCTTTTCCTTATTGTTCTGACCATCTCTTTCAAGTTTTTCGTTTTTCTTAAAAAAATTTGAAGAAATTTGAAGAAAATGGGAGATTTTTGAAGAGAAATGTACAAAATAAATAGAAATCTTTCTGGAGGGAATCGCTTTTTTCGTTTTTTCGTTTTTTCGTTTTTTTTTCGATTCAACTACGAGAAAAGTGACAATGCTTTGGGTCTCTGGTGAGAAATTGCTTCTTTTAAACACTATGAATACAAATTTCAATCTTAGAATCAAACTATTAGCTTGAGTAAGTCGATTTCTCATTTAAAAGCATTGTCATTTCAATTCTGAAAGAGTAAACAGAATGCTTTGGGTCTCTGGTGAGAAATTGCTTCTTTTAAAGGCTAAAAGCAATACTATACAAATTTCAATCTTAGAATTAAACTATCAGCTTGAGTAAGTCGATTTCGCATTTAAAATCATTGTCATTTCAATTCTGAAAGAGTAAACAGAAACTTTTTGCCTTTCTTTCTCTCATCAATTCGGGAATTTGACTCGGAGATCTCTGTTTTTTTTTGTGCTAAAATTCCATCAAAGATTAGATGAAATTTGTTGAAGAAATTTGATGTAATTCTATTGTAAATTATCTTAAATAATAGATAAAAAGAAAAAAAAGAAAAAAAAGAAACAATTGACAAGAGATAAGAATGCCTATTGCACTTGGAGTGAATGAGTTTTTTCGAAAACGACCTCTCCCTTTGTGCAGTCAATTTGCCCAAAAGCTGAACAAATTCCAAAGCTTTTTATTCCAAAATATAGAGGAGATGTTCAGCTTTCGAATGATATATAACACTCATATACAGCTGTTCGATATCTTGAGAAATTTACAAAATAGTACAAACGCGCATTCATAACTGGACAACCCAATATATAAGAAGCTATATAAGAAGTTATATAAGAAGTTATATAAGAAGCTATATAAAAAGTTATATAAGAAACTAGATAAGAAACTATATAAGAAACTAGATAAGAAACTAGATAAGAAACTAGAAGAAACTGATAAGAAACTAATAAAACTAGATAAGAAACTAGATAAGAAACTAGATAAGAAACTAGATAAGAAACTAGATAAGAAACTAGATAAGAAACTAGATAAGAAGTTATATAAGAAACTATATAAGAAACTATATAAGAAACTATAGAAGAAACTATATAAGAAACTATATAAGAAGCTATATAAGAAGTTATATAAGAAACCGTTTCTTACACATAAATATATAAGAAACAAAACGCATAAACAATTCACTCCATATTCACTCAATTGTACAATCAAGTCTAATGTTGACCTAATTTCACAGCATTTTAAATGAGTGTTTCAAAATGCTCACAATTACTTTAAAGCATAAACATTTAATCATTCTTACGCCATCTCATTTTCATTATCCATTCACCTTTCTCATTTCAGTTTGTAAATAAACAATTCTTTTGCATCTAGCAGCTGGCAGTTGGCAGTTGGCAGTTGGCAGTTGGCAGTTGGCAGTTGGCAGTTGGCAGTTGGCAGTTGGCAGTTGGCAGTTGGCAGTTGGCAAAATTTGGACCAATTATTAGATTGCTGCACTCATTCTTTTTTTTTTACAAGTAATTTCTTAGAGTCGACTTGTAAATAATCGAACAACATGCTCTTGAATTAGTGGATTCGTTTTTAAGAAATTCCAGCGAAACTTTTTCTGAGAACTTTCTTTCCAACCTAATACTTCAACTTTCTCCCGATTCCAAACGAATTGGCCAAAATTTTTCCATTTTCTCACGAGATGAAACAGGTATTAGATATTTACGCAAATATTAGATAAACTTTTATTAAAAAAAACCAATATCTTCTGTTAATGAAAAGATTTATTTTCCTTGATATGAAATCAAAAAGAGTGCTACTACATTTACTAGGGAATGCTAGGTGCCTTTTAAAACGAAACCAACTCCATCTTAAAGAATCGGCTACGCTGATTCCGAATCCGTTTTCAGTTTTTACCCTCAAGGCCTGTAACGCGAGATATCTGGGTTACCAGTTTTAGGCTTTCTTACTTGAGTTCATTTTTCGCAACGGAGGCGTCTAGCGACGTGGTGCATCGCCAAAGCTGCCCACTCTAGGGGTCCAAAGCAGCCTGGTTCGGTCCCCTCCTCGGTCAACTTCTTTTGGTTTTTTAATCTGGCTCAAATTATATTGAAATCAAAATAAAATGAAAATGATAGATGAAAATGATTAGTTGAGTAGTCTGTTATAACGTGTAAACCTGCAAAACGTGCTACCGTAAATACTGTAATAGTACCCCACCCCCCTCGTACAGTCGCGTAGTCGCAAAAGTTTTTTAGTATTTCATTTTTTTCAAAGCACCCGTACTTTCAAAAAATGCGTCTTTGGTATCGAAAAATAGCCCTGAATTTCAGCTATTTTTTGATCCCTAAGCGCGCATTGTAGCATAAACCAGTGTCGAGAAAAACTCGTTCAAAGCTAGACTACGCAACACTCCGCACCGTCATTATAGGGGTGGGGTACTATTACAATATTTACGGTAGATTAAAAAAAACAAAAAGAAATTGGCTCTTTTTTTACTGATTTTAAAGTCCAAACGTCTTTTATAATGCTTAGATTCCATAATTTGTAATCGTTCTCCATTTTCTCAATCTAGATTAACAAGCTTTATATAGTCTAGGGCTCAACAATCCGCCCAATAGACGCCAAATGGCAAGAAGTCACTTTTAAACATAAACATATTAGCTTATTAGCATAAACTTATTGTTCTAAACGCTTTGCAAAGATCACCATTCGACGCAGCGCGGGTGATTGTCCTAAAAAAAAGTTGAAAAACAAAAACAAGCAATTAACTCCTCAAGAAAAGTCACTATAAGTTTGCCCCTAGCTATAAATGTTAAAATTAAATTAATTACCATCCAAGCACCTAGCATTCCCTAGTATTAAATTAAATTAAATTAATTACTGTCACTCAAAACTCACCGGAATCACAAAAACAAAAAGAAAAAAAAACGATTTTAATCCCTGAATTTTGTTGAACGAAAAGTTCAAGAGGTCAATGAAATAAAAAACAGTCGATAAAAACGGGAGTGGGACAAATGCAACCTTTTTTTTGCGTATCCGGACATTTGCGCACCTTTTTTTGCGCACCTTGCCCATTAGCGCACCTTTTTTCGTGTTTTAAAAAAGCTCTAAAAAGCTAATATTAACCAATTTCTATTCCAAATGTTGTTTTTCTAGGTAATTTTAGGGCGTAGAATCGAAATTTTGACATACCAGAGCTTGTGGAAACGAACGGACGGAGTTATACAAAGAGAAAGATCGACAATTTTCTGTAATTTGATCTAAGGGTGCCTGTCTTTCAGATCTAGATCTGTCTTTCAAATTGGTTCCACACGCTCTGTTATGTCAAAATTTCGATTCTACGCCCTAAAATTACCTAGAAAAACAACTTTTGGAATAGAAATTGGTTAATATTAGCTTTTAGAGCTTTTAGAGCTTTTTGAAAACACGAAAAAGGTGCGCTAATGGGCAAGGTGCGCAAAAAAAGGTGCGCAAATGTCCCTATATTGAGATGACACGACCTGAATGCAAAAGTTCGTTCCACTTTTTTAAATCATCTGGGGGTGGGACAAATGCGACCTTTTTTTTGCGCACCTGGACATTTGCGCACCTTTTTTTTTGCTGGAAAAGGCCTTAGGAAAGGCCGTAGAGCTTCGAAAATGTTTTCATAGAAGGGAATCGTATGCGTAGATTCCGAATTTCGACAAATCAGACCTCGCTGTTACACGCTCAAATTTGTCGAAATTCGGAATCTACGCCCCAATTACCAAAAACCATTATATGGAAAAATTGGTTAATATTAGCTTTCTAAGAGCTTTTTAGAGCTAAAACGCGAAAAAAGATGCGCTAATGGGCAAGGTGCGCAAAAAAAAAGGTCGCATTTGTCCCACTCCCATAAAAACAAAAGAAAACTCAATCGGAATGTGAAATTTTTTGAGCAGTTAAGCAAACTTAAAAAGGCAAGATTAAATGGATTTAAAATCGCGAAGTTCTTCCGAATTTCTTGCACGGATTTCCCCGATTTCCCTCTTTTTCCAATCGAATGTTGTCGACGGCCAAAAATTGATGTTTATGCACTTTGCCAGCAATGAAGTAGACCTGATAAATTGAAAGTTTCAAAGAGTTTTTGCTCAAAGAGTTCTCAAAGCGGTTCTGTATTCGAATTGTAAAGCTTAGTCCATTTGCATTAGAAATTTTCCAACTGGATCATCCTAGACATGGCGAAATTCGAAGCCAAACCTATTTCCACCGTCGTTTCTTGGACGATTGCTCTGAAATTTTGTCTACAATGGAAGCTGAGTCGATTTCTATTTGTAGACAAAATTTCAGAGAAATCGGCTGAGAAACGGCTGAGAAACGGCTGAGAAACGGCTGAGAAACGGCTGAGAAATGGCTGAGAAACGGCTGAGAAAAGGCTGAGAAACGGCTGAGAAACGGCTAAGAAACGGCTGAGAAAACGACGGTTGTGCAGAAAAGTGGCTCTTTTCTGTGAAATCTTATTTAATGTTTTGATTTGAATGTCAGATTTTCTTGTCCCGCCTCTAAAAGATCGCTTTTATGATAAAGGGACGGATAAAAGGGACGGAGCCCACTTTATATTATCTTTTCCGTCTATTCTTTCCGTATATTCCTTTCGTATTCCTTTTCGTATTGCTATGAAACACTGAACCAACGATTGATTCTATTCTTTTGTATTTTTCTCGCTAGATTAGTATTGTGCTAGATTCAGAATAAATATCTAATAATCATCGTCCCTATCGGTATTCTCTCACACACTGCACAACGGTGAAATTCGATTCGACTTCGAATTTTTCCATTTCTAAACCATTTCAATTCATTCACTCACTTTTTTCATTCCAACTGGCAGATAAACTTTCTGATCGATAAACCAGAATTTCGTTTTGTTCACTTGTGGATTCGAGTAAGGGCAATAATCGAAGGAATCGATGCAAACCTAAACAAAAAAAAACCTTTAATTCTTCTATTGTGCTTTGTTTCTCTATTTGAAACGAGTTCGCCAAATCGATTCACCGACTCCGAAAACCCTAGGGTACAAGCTTTAAAAGGAAACTGAGACTCAATTTTTTTGATAAAAAAAAGATTTACTCTCAATTGTGGCCCGAAGGATCGAAGAAAGAGATCGAAAATGAGGAAAACGTCACTTCGATCATTCACGAATTTCGGGGATTCCATGACGAAAACCTGCAAAGATTTTTGTGTTTTTAGAAAGGCTGTTTCGATCCAAATCGATTTTAAAAGGGCTTATATTGAAAGTTACAGAAAAACGAGTTCGCCAAATCGATTCACCGACTCCGAAAACCCTAGGGTACAAATTTTCAGCTGCAATATTTTTTTTTAAAAAACATCTACAAAGCAAAAGAAAAATGGTTGCCGAGGTGTTCTCTGTGCGGTCACGTAATCGCTCGCCATCTGGCATCTGGCAATACGGGGTAAAGGAAGGAGCATAGAAGTCTGCGACATCTCGCTTAAAACGCTTCTCTCGCCGGCTGCCAGTATGACCCGGTGGCGCAGTGGATAAGCGACCCGGATACAAGACGGCCATCCGCGCCCTGCTTAGGTTCGACTCCCCAGCCAGCTTATTTTCCATTTTACCGAAAATAATTGAAATAAGCCTTTTTTTCAAAACAGAAACATGCATGCTTTGGCATTATTTACGAAACCTCTTCCTCCGTCTGCGCATAGTCGTTTCCCACATAGACATAACCCACTATAAATGCTCTTTATCAATGCCCAAATTTTTTTTTTCGCTCACAATTTCTATCGATATCATTGTAATCATCTTTGTGCACTCCTGTGAGTTTATTCCCCAAAAAACGATCGCTCAACAGCCATGGTGATCTGCAACTTTTATTTATTATTGATTTCTCTTCAAATTTCCCCTCACGTGCTTCCAATTCCATTAAGACTGTAGAAACAGGTATTTCCGTGATTGAAATTGCACGGAAGAACCTCACAAATCGACAATGTGCGAGCATCTAGAAGAAGAAACGAAATATTTGAATTCTTATCGGTGAAAAGTTAAGCGTAAAAATCGTTTGAATGAATCAAATAGGATTTATTAGGTTGATGAATTGAAAACTGCCGGACTTTGAACTAAAATTTATTCAACATAAAACGATCAATTCATTCTAAATAATTTCTATTATTATTGACGACTTCTGCCCATTTTACAGGCAATTTGCGGATTCCTCTTTCGTAGTAGGATTTTGGTTTTGAATCGAAAAACTTTCAAAGCCAATTTTTATTCTCCCGCAAGCTCATTACTCATGATCCGGAATAAATAGTAATCAAAAGGGGAGAGGTCCGGACTGTATGGGGGATGCGCCAAAAGTTCCCAAACAAGGCTATTTATTTTAGAGCGAGTCAGTTTTGCAACATGAGGGCGCGCGTTGTCGTAGATGAGAACGATCTTTGACTTGGAGGGCCTATTCTTCTTCATGGATTCATTCACCTTTCCCAACTGTCCACTGTATTTGGTTGCATTAACGGTCGTCTTGTAATCCAGCAACTCCCAGTACAAGTGTGAGACTCAAAAATGGAGAACTGGAGATGTCCCAGTGTCCCAGTTTGAGCACTTTCTTCAAAAGAAACCCATTTTGGTGTCAATGGAAAAGTTGTAGAGAATCAAAAATCAAGCTTATATCCAAATTTCCAAAAAGATACACTCAGTAGTTTCGCTTAAAATGCAAGTTTTGTGAAAATTCGTAAATTTGGCATTTCTTGAAAACCAGTTTTTGAATCGTTCTGAAAATTTGGATATAAGCTTGATTTTTGATTCTCTACAACTTTTCCATTGACACCAAAATGAGTTTCTTTTGAAGAAAGTGCCCAAACTGTCACATATGACAATAGCCGGCAGTTTTCAATTCACCAACCCAATAGAATATATCAAATCAAATCAGAAAACGAATTTAAAGCCTTATATTGAGCAAATTTCAAAGCAAAGTAAAGTATTTCACTTCAATTTCTGATCTATAAATCGTTTTCTTTTAGCATTTGAGTTATCTCTTAAATAAAATTGAAAAATTTCAACAACTTTCTTTGAGTTTACCTTTTTGCGCACTCTGTAGATCGGTTGTTGCGGTTTTCTGAAAAAAAAAAGAAGCCAGTAAAAACTTGATTTTTTTCTATTAAACAAATCCACTTTTGATTTAGAATTAGATCGTGATGAGCTTGAGAAAAAAAAAGCTTGAGCGTTTGAGAAAGCACAACTTAATGTCTAGGATCCAACTAGATTACCACCACTTTTTTTTTTGACAAACGGAGAGTAACAGAGAAATTTACACTTGTGTCTCTTCCCCCTCTCTTTTCTTTGAACGCTATTGCATTTTCTGATGCCATATCACTTTTTGACAAAGCCGACTCTTATAGTGATTCTGACGAGAATAATAAAATTTTTGTCGATTTCCAATTTTTCTCAAGTTTCTCAAGAAAAAATAGCATTAATCTTGTCAAATTTGAAACTCACTCTTGGCTCGATCACCTCGAAATCGACATCCGAATCGACTTTTGGGAGAGCTGTTGATGGACTGAATGAACTGAATGAAAAAGATTCGTGACGACGATAAACGACGTAAACGACGTAAAGGTTGTAAAGTCGCGTAGTCATTAACTTTTTTTTGCTGATAATTTGGTGTAAATTCAAAGATAAACAAAACTATTATAGTCATTCGATAGCCCTGAATCTTCTTTTGAAAACTAGAAAACAAAGTTATCAAAATTTTTGCGAAATAATAAAAGAAAACCTTTCATCATTATATACCGTATTTTCTGTAATAGTAGTGCAGTCTGTAACAGTAGTGTAGTCTATAATAGTAGTGCAGGCTGGAGGGGGGTTGAAAAAAATAGTAGTGCGCACTACTATTACAGAAAATACGGTAATAGTAAGTTTTTTTTACCGATTTTTTGAATCATCCGCAAATGTCCTTGTCCGAGCGGGTGCTTGGAAAGAGAAACTCTCTTCAGCGTTTTCATTCGTCGATGAAAGCTGAATAGCTTTTAGATATAAAATCTACTTTGCATTTATCTAGAAATTTATCATTTAAGGCACTTATCTTTTTATGAGGACATAAATTAGAAAAACTTTATGATCTACAGGGTGCGCCATAATTGTCGTCATATTTGTCGCCATATTTGTCGCATCGTTCAAGGACAATAACTCCTTGATTTAAGCTTCATTTCTGTTTTTTTAATGTGTTTTTATTATATTTTGAATATAATTGAAACTCTTTTTCATATAAAATTGTTTTTTAGAATGGCTGGAAAATCCCCCGTTGACAATCGATCATCGAATTGCCATCGAGTCTCGACGCCGGAGATTCTCGACGCCGGAGAGCCTTAAAGTCGGCAGAAGTGTCATTTGCACTATTCAAAGCTACGAAGCTACGGGAACAATTGCTGATGCACCAAGAAGCAGTAGACGCTCAAATGTTGTCACAAAGACAAACATCAAGCGAGCGAGGGAACTTCTCGGACTTCATCTCTTTTTCTGAGTGGCCACCTAGCTCTCCAGACCTCAACCCAATGGATTTTTCAGTGCGGTCGGTTCTAGAAGCCAAAGCTTGTTCAAAGCCCTCACAAAAACATCGAAATCTTGAAGAAATCACTGTTGAAAGCATGAGCTCGATGCAGCCTATTTGGTCGCCACCGTTGACGCCTTTTCGAAACGCCTGCGAATCTGCTCAAATGCTAATGGTGGCCGATTCGATTTGATCGTTCATTTATAATTGTTAATGCACTATAAATGTTATTTAGTTAAAAATTTATCTTTTTTTGCTCTTGTCTGCTTTAAAATCAGAACTTTATCTTGTTGCGGCAATTATGGTGCACTATGTAGTAGGCTTTTTTTTTCTGAAAAATCAAGCAAAACCCTCGTTTGACTTTGAATAAACAAATGAAAGCAGAATAGATAAACTAATCTAGCAGTAGATTCACTTTTTTTATTCTTTTATTTTCGTTTTTAATAATATAATCTACATGCAAAAAAAGATCGTAATATCTTATTTTTAAAGTTAAAATTTTCAACTTTTGTAAACCCATTGCTGCGAGAAATAATCGTGCAATCAAAAGCAAATTTTCCATTTAGTATATTGATTTTTGTGGATTAAATATGAATTTAAATGAATTTAAATGAGATTTTGAATAGAATTTTGAATAGGATTTTGAATTAAATTTTGAATGAAATTTTGAATGAATTTTTGAATGAATTTTTGAATAGGATTTTGAATAAAATTCAAGAATTCATCAAACTTTGTCAAGCATTGTCATCTCCTCATCGCCAATCACATAGTCGATGCTGTTCAAAGAAGAAATCGGATCATCTACAAGTTGTTTTTTTCTTGATAAATTAATAGGTTGATGCAAGTCGTTTTTGTTCCTTTTCGTCTGCCGTTTCAAGCCAACAAATGCACCAATTAAACTACGGTTGATTTCATTAGAAAAAGCAATTATTTTTCTGCAAAATAACATTAAAACGGGTTTAAAAATATTTAATGCCTGGATTTTCTTGAGAGTATGAAGTCGGGTAGTCAAAAAGGGCTAACTCGATGATGCGGTTTAGACACCTTAGCTAAAGAAAACCTATCTTCGTGTCAATAGATAAAAGATAGAGAAAAAAAACGTTTGATATTTCGCCAAAATTTCAGAGAAATTCATTCAGCCAATTTTTCCGTAGAGTTTTTTATAGATTTTTACGAAAAAGGCGTTTTTCACTCTCGAATTTGCTTGAAAGTGAACCGAAATTCATTTAAAAAGATGCTAATTGAACAAAAAAACACCTTTTTTATAGAGCAAACTATAGATTAATTCGTGAATTTGTTACTTTTTAACAGAGGTACGAAAAAAACGAAAAGACTTATGCATCAACCTAATATATCTATTCGGTTGGTGAATTGAAAACTGCCGGCTATTGTCATATGTGACAGTTTGAGCACTTTCTTCAAAAGAAACCCATTTTGGTGTCAATGGAAAAGTTGTAGAGAATCAAAAATCAAGCTTATATCCAAATTTTCAGAACGATTCAAAAACTGGTTCTCAAGAAATGCCAAATTTACGAATTTTCACAAAACTTGCATTTTAAGCGAAACTACTAAGTGTATCTTTTGGGAATTTGGCTATAAGCCTAATTTTTGATTCTCTACAACTTTTCTATTGACACCAAAATGGGTTTCTTTTGAAGAAAGTGCTCAAACTGAACAAACTGGGACATCTCCAGTCCTCGATTTTTGAGTCTCACACTTGTCTCACACACAAACCAAAATCCTACTACGAAAAAGGAATCCGCAAATTGCCTGTAAAATGGGCAGAAGTCGTCAATAACAATGGAAATTATTTGGAATGAATTAATCGTTTTATGTTCAATAAATTTTAGTTCAAAATTTTAGTTCAAAGCCCGGCAGTTTTCAATTCACCAACCTAATAAATTCTTTCTATATCAATCAAATAATTGAAATTTGTTTAGTTTAATAATAATAGTTGAATAATAAAGTCTAATAATAATTTGAAAAGATTCTATTTATCAAGAAATCAACTTGGATTCGGTGGCCGATTTTCTGCCTTCAGTGATGGAATCTTGATGTCACCGTTGGCACTGAAATTGATGAATATTCAGTTAAGAACTCTTCTAAATGCTATAAATATTTAATTTATTTCTGTTTTTAAAAATAAATCTTACAATTTGTATTACAAATCATCTAAAAGCTGAAAACTGTTACGTTTGAAAGTTGTGAGTTTCAAAGATTCACTCTTTTTTTCTCTATTTTATTCCTAACAAGCTGATTTTCTTTGCAATTTTTCAAATGGAACAAACTTTTTAAATTTCGGTGTAATGTGAAATGAAAATGATCCAGGTGATGGTTGTTGTTGGGGATTTTGTTGAGTTTCTCTCGAACTTTCAGCATCGAAACTTTTCGCCGAAGATATTGGATGAATATTTTTCAAGATCGAAGTTGAAATTTCAGCACCATTTTCATTGTCAATGGTATTCTGAAATCATTTCATTTCATTGAAAGAAAAGCAAGAGTGAAAGTCCATTAGCTGCATCAATTTCTACCGTAAATACTCTAATAGAAGCAGAAGCGTCGCGTAGTCTAAGTTTACTCTCAAATAAACGCTCATATCTTGACACCAGTACGTTTGTTTCAGCGCGCTTTGATATCAAATTAAAGTAGAGAGGATGGGTGATTTTTTGAGATATAACACATATTTTTAGCATTAACCAGCGCTTAGAGAAAAATGATTGAAAAGTGGCGAAAAAGAGGCGATTTTTTATCATTCTATTGGGTTGTCCAGTTATGAATGCGCGTTTTTTACTATTTTGTAAATTTCTCAAGATACCGAAATCAAGAAAAAGATATATATGAGTATTATTCGAAAGCTGAAGATCTCCTCTATATTTTGATATAAAAAGTTTTTGAATTTGTTCAGCTTTTGGGCAAATTGACTGCACAGAAGAAGAGGTGGCCAAAAAAATGGAAGGGTGCCTTTGGATCAAGTTTTGGCTCCGCTCAAATTGAGTTAGCCGTTTGATGTTTGGCCAATAGATATGTCAATACAATTTTTTTGAAAATATAACAATTTCAGAGCATCTTTACTTTTCTTTTCTTTTCTGGGCGGTTATTTTACACCATAAAACTTGAGGAATAGCTAAGCTGGAATGGGTTTTTTCGGAAACGACCTCTCCCTTTGTGCAGTCAATTTCCCAAAAAGTTGAATGAATTCAAAAACTTTTTATTCCAAAATGTAGAGGAGATTTTCAGCTTTCGAATGATATATAACACTCATCCACATCTGTTCGGTATCTTGATAAATTTGCAAAATAGGAAAAACGCGCATTCATAATGGACAACCCAATATTTAGGGCCGTTCTATTAAAGTTTTTACGGTATTCATCCATGTCAATCTTATGTAATATTTTAGCCAATACATCGTTAATTTTGTGATACAAATGATAAAACAGATTATAATTATATTTTTATATGTATTTTGTATTGAAAAGTCTAGATTCAACTAACCAAATTGTCGAAAAAGCCATTATTTGATTCAAAATCGAGCGTGGTGGCGCTTGATTGATTTGGATCGACTTGGATCTCTGTTGATTGAGGCATTGATGTTTCATCCTCTGTCTACAAGAAAAAAAATAAGCTAAATTTTGACTAAAATTCGTGTCCCAAAAAGCTCCAAGTCAAAAGGATTTCTTACTTTACAGACTGACAGGAATTATAGCGACAACTTTTCGAAAAAACTAGCTGGGAAATGTCTAATTGATTTCAAATGTAGCAAGTGTTATATAGAGAATTGTAGCCCTAATTTCTTGGCTACATTTATCTACTAAAAACTTCTCAAACGGATTTATGCAGTTCATTTAACAAGCGCTTGAATGAGCACTAGTCAATGTAGAGTCCGATTGGACACTTCCGTAACCTCGACTACATACTTGGAAAGAGAATTGTAGAGAACTACAAATATAGAGAATTGTAACCCTTGATCTTGGCTTCATTTATCTACCAAAAACTTCTCGATTGGACTTATACAACTCATTGAACAAGCGCTTGAATATCGCCAGTCGACATCTCTCCAACGAATCTGTCATTTAGCTGTTTTTCCCTATTAAAAATTGTTAAGAAAAGCTTCAAATGTGATTCTTAATGTTATTAAGTGATGCTAAACGCTATTTTTGCATTGAAGAAATATTGAAAAGCTTTCCTTAACAATTTTTAATAAAGAAAAGCGGCTAAATGACAGTTTCGCTGCAGAGATGGCGACTAGTGCTCATTCAAGCGCTTGTTAAATGAACTGCATAAATCCGTTTGAGAAGTTTTTAGTAGATAAATGTAGCCAAGAATTAGGGCTACAATTCTCTATATAACACTTGCTACTTTTGAAATCAATTAGACATTTCCCAGCTAGTTTTTTCAAAAAGTTGTCGCTCAGTCAGTCTGTACAAAAAGTAAGCGGCTAAATGACAGTTTTGCTGCAGAGATGTCGACTAGTGCTCATTCTAGTGCTCATTCTAGTGCGACTAGTGCTCTTGAATAAAATTCGTGTTTCAAAAAGCTAAAAAGCAAAAGAATTTCTTGCTTTAGAGTTACTTGAACGATTTTTCAAAGTTTGAGGAAAATTTGAGATTTTTACGCAACAAAAATGCGTCCTTTGACCCGATCTAGGATTTTGGTGTTTTGGGAAAATTCGTTGTGCAGACGTGGAACTAAAACTAAGCCCGGCCAAATGCCTTTGAGGCCTTGTCTTGTCTAAGAATGCCTTGTCTAAGAAGGATGTTTCAAATCAATGAAGCCTTTGAGCACACATTTAAAGCTCCTTTGAGCACATTGATCTTGATTGATCAAAAAAGAAAAACAAGAACAAGAACAACAACAACAAACCATTTGACACAACTGTCCATCGTATCGAATATTGTCCAATAAAACGATCGATTTCTCATCCAAACCGTTCACTTCTATCCACAATTTGAATGGATCACCCGAGCCGGGAAATGGAATTGTCAACGGGTTCTCCGGGTTTGTCATGTACTGTAAAAAGAAATTGGGTACTCGAAAAATCGTATTCTCGAAGGTATTGTGAAAAGTTATCATTTGCAAAAACTAAAGCAAATTTTATTCTCTTGGGGTAAACGAATGGAAATAAATTTCAAAAGATTACAACTCTGAAAACGCAGGCATAACCCTTTAATTCGCTTAGTTTTCGTTTAGCAGAATAGCACAATTTCTAGCAAGAAAACGGGGAAATTTTAGGGTGAAAATTACTCTCAAATTGAGCAAAATTACTCTCAAAATTTGAGCATAAGGCCCAAAGCATGAAAATCGGCTCATGTTGAATTTGGCATTTTTTTTTGAGGCTGATTGGACTGAAAATTTGCAATTAGGGGCTTTCGAGGATGCGGAATTCGAATCCGTTTGCAGTTTCTAAAGAAAACTGCTTTATTTTTGGGCTTTTATTTGATTTAATTACTCAAGTTTTAGAGAGTTTTGTGATAAGCGTATTCGCTCGGAAAAAGCAAAAGTTTATTGGGAAATGACCTCACAAATCGGCTCTTCTTGCTTCTCGATTTGCATGCAAACTTTCAATTGGACACTGTAGCTGTTCGTCCAGAAACTGAAATCTTTAAGAGAATAGCTAAAGGTTGAGCACATCGACTTCATCGAGCCAACTACCGTATTCATTTTTTCGCTTAATAAACTTTATTAGCTTAATAAACACTTAATAAACGCTTAATAAACGCACTCAAATTTCAGTGTCCCTTCGCCCAATTGACACGGGATATCGATTTGGAGGATTGCCACTCGATTCTCTTCTTCTCCGGACAACGACTCTCCGCCAGCCAACAGAAAATATTCATCTGAAATATTGACTACCGTATTCTCTCTAATAGTAATGCGCACTACTATTTTTTGAACCCCCTCCTGGACCGCAATACTATTAGAGAGTGCACCACTATTAAAGGGTTTTATCATTTATCAAAGTATAAGACAGATATAAGATTTGTTCCAAAAACTCTCGCAACTCTTTCACGTACTCCTTTGGCTCCTTTTGACATACAGTTGTGGGCCGGCGAGTTGACAATTTGTGTCTTGACAAACAACAAAAAGATGTTTTTGCCTTTTGCACAACAATTTTAGATTTTTTGCTAACTTTTTCATGAGAAGAATAGTTAATAAATGAATAAAAAAAGCCTCACTTTTGCTTGCTCGAATAGCTTTAGGTTTAGATGAAAAAGAAGCACCAGAAATTCAAATTTTCGTGGGTGCACTACTATTTTTTCACCCCCCCCTCTCGGACCGCAATACGATTAGAGAGTGCACTACTATTAAAGAGTGCACTATTATTAGAGAGAATACGGTATTTTATATGTCAAATTTTTCATTCAACTTTTGCTTAGAATTCTCGAAAAAGAAACCAAAACCGAAAAAGATTCGTGCAATTAAAGCGCTTCAATCAAACCGAAACCAAATCGCCCTCATGGCCGACTGGCTAAGACCCCTGTATCTCAGTCAGGAGATCGGGGGTTCAATTCCGACTTCAGTTTTTTCTTTTTTTTCCTAAGGGTTGTGTTTTTGATTTTTGTATCATATTATTTGTGTGAAAAAATGTATTTAGAAAAACAAACCAAAGCCGAAACCCCGGGGACTCGTGCAATCAAAGCGCTCCCGGTTGAAGGCATCACGGTAGATCGCCTTGGAGAAGCTAGAAATGAAAAAAGATGAGTAAAGTGTTGAAAGAAATAGATAGAAATCTTTACCTCACAGACCCATTATTAAACCAGGCACAGAATTCTCTTTCTTGATCGAAACCACACGAAAGACGACCGCCTTCGCCCACAGAGAGCTCGGATTTATGTGGATAATCGACAATTGTCGCAATGTTTCTCATTTCTGAAAATTTCTTTTAAAAATTTTGATAATAAGATCTACGATAAGCCTATTTAAGGCTACGAATTATTATTATGATAAAATAATTTATAAAAACTTTCAAGTTTCAACTTTGAGAAAGGAAAAGCGCTTTGAGATCTACGATTTTTGATTGAGCCATTTTCGTTAAGCCATTTTTGTTAAGCCATTTTCGTTAAGCCATTTTTGTTAAGCCATTTTCGTTAAGCCATTTTTGTTAAGCCATTTTCTTTAAGCCATTTTGCGTTAAGCCATTTTCGTTATGCCATTTTCGTTAAGCCGATTGAGCCGTTTTCCCAATAATAATTACTTAATTTTAACTTGTATAACCTAAATTCTTTGAAGTTTTAAAGTTTAAAACTAGAAAATCGTTAAGTTGTGTTCTTTTCTTTTTCCCATTTACCGCCAGCTGTGTATTCTTTGAATTGTGCTCTTTCGCATTGTCCTTTCCTCGTCTCGAATTCATCAAAAGTGATCCCTTTTGTTTTCGTTTTTGATTGTGAATCGTCGTAGAATGCTGAAAAATTGTTTTTTTATTTATAAATGCATTTTAAAATGTGATCACAGGTCTTAAAACAAGCTCTTTTTTTTCTTTTTGATTGAATTGAACCATTCATTCTAGGGGTTTTTAGTCTTTACAAGAATTCACGATTCTTGTAGAAGATTTGTGTAAAGGTTCTTGTAGAAGATTCTTGTAAAGATTCTTGTAAAGATTCTTGTAAAAGATTCGTGTAAAGATTCTTATAGAAGATCGTTGTAGAAGATTCTTGTAAAGATCCTCGTAGAAGGTCCTTGTAGAAGATCCTTGTAGAAGATTCTTTTAGAAGATCGTTGTAGAAGATTCTTGTAAAGATTCTTGTGAAGAATTTACGATCCTTGCAAAGATTCACGGGTACAAGTATCTCCTCAATTAGAATATCACTCAAAAATTTGTATAAACTGAAAAATTCACCTAACTTTTTTAGCTATAAGCTTCAGGATTACGGTATGTTTAATTTGAAACCATTTCACTTTTACGGTCGATCAGTTATTTTGTTTTACTCTTAAACTACTCGATTTTGATTTCTTGTTTCCTAATTTTCCTCATTAATTTTAACGCTTAGACATCGAAAATGCAAATTCAGTTAAACAAATGTTGAAATGTTCAAAACACTGAATCTAATTTCAATTTTTTAAAAAGATTTCAGAGTTTATTGAGACTCAAAAGGTGAATAAAGCTGAATAAAGGGCCTCAATCAAACCCGAACCCAGTCACCCTCATGGCCGACTGGCTAAGACCCCTGTATCTCATTCAGGAGATCGCGGGTTCAATTCCGGCTTCAGTTTTTGTTTTTTAAAAAAAGGTAAAAGTAAAAGCACGAAATAAAAACGAAGAAATAAACTAAAGTTTAAGCTCGCTTTTTGAACTTTTTCTAATTTCAATAATTTCAAAATTTGATTTGAAATTGGATTTGATACTGAAAACGCCATGCTTGCTCTATGAAATCCGGTTTCTAATTAATAAAAACGATCTGGATCTTCTCAAAAAAGCTCTCGAACCTGTCTCCGGTGTCCCTCCTCCTTCTATTCCTCCATTCGGATCATCAGCTGAGGCAGCTGCACGAGAGCCTGAATTGTTTCAGTTTAAATTTCTTAGTGTTATCCATAGGTTCTTGGGGTTTTTAAATTTATGATTTCTTAAAAACTAGCAATTTTTAAACTTTTAAAATTTTAAAATTTTAAATTAATAAAAGATTCTTGTAAAGATCCTTGTAAAGAATCTTGTAGAATATTCTTGTATTTAAACAAATTTTAAAACCCCAAGAACTTATGCACAAGTTCGAATTTAGAATCAATTTATAAGATTTAAATTTTTAAGAATTGCCGTCATCTTTTTTTACCCCCATATCCATAAAACGATCCACCACTCGACGAGGAAAGACAGCCACGAGTTTCATCTGGAAATCGACTTCATTTAAATGCTTTACTTTCATTTTTGGCCGCTATAAATGTCTAATATTTTTTCATAGCTTATTCGAAAATTTTGAAAGAGAAAAGAATTTGGTTTTTTTTTTGCTTAAAGGGGGGTATTAACCCATTCGAAACTTCTGCAGCGAATAATCGCTGCAGCAAAAACTCAGGAACGGACCGCTTTGATTAATTAATCCGCTACTAAAATATTAATTAATTTGTCGTCGATAAAATAAGAATAATAATCGATAGGATCTTGAAAAGTAGTGAAGTCAAATCCAAATCGTTCTTCATCAAAAATAAATGGTGTAGGAGACTCTCTTAAATCTTTCCAACCATCTGGATAAACTGCTTCGGAGTCAAAAATGTCAAAAAAGGGCTTGGTCCGCAGACGAAAAAAAAGAAAAACGTTTCGAATGGGTTAATCGCGGCCGGGTGACCATAAAAAAAATTTTTACGGCAACCACCTGTTTTTTTTATTTTAATATCGTTGATTTTATTATAAAAAGAATAAAAATCACCCGGCTAGAGTGATTTGATGGGTTTACAAATTTTTGGAGAAGCTGCAAGGCTGTTTTGCAAGGCTGCAAGGCAATAGGTCATCTACAAAGTAAGTGCGAAAGTAAAGCAAAAGTCAGGCATTATGTTTTCTTTTTTTTTTGTTTGCTGAAGCTTTTTCCTCAAAAGCTTAAGCTCTATCCTCAAAAATTGCTTAAAATGTGGGAATTCTGCAAAGTGGATCCGATATGGTAATCGGGCTCACGATCGAAATTCTCTACTCTTTACCAAGACTTCGGCTCAACCGAAAGCAGAAAATGTTTTTGGCTGGAATTTGTGTCTTGGC